CTGTTCGGAATGAGCCGGTCGGCAGGTGACGTCATCCGTGGACGAGGACCCTTACCACCGTGGTGCTGAGGTGGCAAGGCCCGACTAACGGAGGGCACAGTGGGCCAGAAGACCGGTGGAGGCGGTCAAAATCCCGGACGCGTTTTGAGCTCCAGAGTCGCTAAATGGGACTCGAACCGAACGTGTGACCCCAACTGCTCTCCTAACGAGCAATCCATTGGTGGGGTTACACGCTCGGCTCGAGTCCTGTTTAGCGACGCTGCAGATCAAAACGCGTCTTGGCCCGCCTGGGCAGGTGTGCAGGGTAGCCCCGCCGCGACGCACGCTGACCCTGTCGGACCGCTGCTCGAGTTTGTCTTGGTCGTTCCCGATTTTGAGCTGCTCGCTTCGCGATTATTTGATGGAAGTAAATAAAAGGGGCGATAAAGAGAAGAGAACGGTCCGGAGAGGGGAGGGGGGTGGGGAGGGGGGCTCTTGACTTTGACAGCCGCGCGCAGTGTCGCAGATGCGATGGACGTTTTCAGAGCCAGCCGAACCGAACGGGCGCGGCTGGGAGGCTCTGGGAGGCTCTGCGAGGGCGCGGCCCCGACGCCGTCCTCGGGTCCTTCGGTCCTCCACGGCCCGTATGGCCAATTAAAAGGCGGCCGGCCGAGCCAGTCGCCGTCGTCGAGGAGGCAAACATCTTGAGGACATCTTTATTAGGACCAGTTGAAGCGCCCAATAACAGGCTTCCTAAAACGCGCCGAAACGGCCGCGGACAAGGCATAAAAGGGTCCGGGACCGTTAACGGCCTGACGAGGCATTAAGCGAGTGGAGTGCATAGCGAGGGGCTGCAGTGCAGTGCAGTGAGCGCAGCGCGGTCCGGTGCACCGCACTGCATACCGCACCGCACTGCAGCCTCTAAGGCAAGGCCAAGGTGCAGGAGGCCGCGCACAGTGGGCCAGAAGACCGGTGAGGCGGCCAAAATTCTAGATGCGTTTTGAGCTCCAGAGTCGCTAAATAGGACTCGAACCGAACGTGTGACCCCACCAATGGATTCCTCGTTCGGAGAGCAATCCATTGGTGGGGTCACACGTTCGGTTCGAGTCCTATTTAGCGACTCTGGAGCTCAAAACGCGTCTAGAATTTTGGCCGCCTCATCGGTCTTCTGGCCCACTGTGCCGCGTGCGTTATCGCGCAAACAGACCGATTCCGAGAGTCCTGGGAACCACCAGCCGCTGGACACGTTTCGAACGCTGAAGTCCTCAAATAGATCTCGAATCAGTAACTTGAGGGTATCTATCGATTCCTCGTTTCAAGGCCGATCCAGTGGTACCCTCATGAGTTGGATTCGGATTGAGTCCCGATGTGAAGACGGAGCTCGAAGCGCGTCCCTTTCGGTCTTGAGTGCGCGCTGCCACTGCCGCGCCCCAAGGCGACAGACAAGCCAGCGCAGCCGCGAGCGGGCTCATTCAGGACAGCGCTTTCGTCGCTCTGTCTCTCTCGCACCCCGACGCGACGCCCCACGAGTGCGAGAGAGACAGAGCGACGAAAACGCCGTTCGGAACGGAGCCTGGCTCCCCGCTATCTCCAGAGCGCGCTGCAGGCCCTGCTGGGGCGCCGCGTCGCGTCTGTGATTTACGCCCCAGCCGCTGTGGCGCTGCTGCTGCCGCTGCCGGGCGACGCCGCGATAAAATGCATATAATTAGCCTGCACTCGGCTGCACTTATTGTAGCAATTACAGTGCCGTCGACAATGTGCAAGGGCTGCCGTTCCAGCCCGGCGTGGCCCGGCCCGGGCCGCTGGTGTCGCTCTGACAGCTGTCACCGCGCGGCCCGCGGCCCGCCCGCCACGGCCACGGCCTCCCTCGCATTGCACCGCGCGGTCCCCGCTGGTCCCCGCGACCCTCGTGATTTAATGCGTGTTTACTATTAATTTGCGTGATTTATATGCAAACCGCTTCTTATTTACTCGCTTTCGCCGTGTTTTATTGTGGAGAGGCTGCCTGGCTGGCTCGCCCACCGCGCCGCGCCTCTCGGCTACAAATCCTAATCAAAACGAGGGGCGCGGTGAGGTGGCCGTCGAGGCCCACTGTCCTGTCACCGCGATGGCACAGCCTGGCACAGCCTGGCACAGCATGGCACAGCGATAGCAGTGCCGTGCCAACCAGCCTCTTGCGTAGCCTCCATTCGCGCGCAATGTTATTAAAAATTATTCAAATTTGTTTCGTGCTTTGCGATTTATTTTTCGCGGAGTGGAAAGTCGGGCAGGTCGCTTCGCGGTTCAAAAAGTATGAGTGTCGTTGCCGAGGGCCGAGGCGGCCGAGGCGCGGCGCGTGACGTGCGGCTTTCCTGTTTTATAAATCGACTTTATCGAGCTTTACGGTGCATTGTGGCGTCGGGTTGACACGGCTGAGAGAGAGAGAGAGAGAGAGAGAGGGAGAGAGAGAGAGAGAGAGAGAGAGAGAGTGCGTGTGAGTGAGTGCGACTGATCATGCCTCACATTCCGTCCGGGGTCGCGCTTCGCCGCTTCGCCCGGCGCGCGCTTCTTTATTGGGCAATGGCTCGGCTTTATATCGCATTGTAGCGCCGCGTGTCCGCGTCGCCGCACGGCCGGCCGGTGTGTGTTCCTCTCCTCGTTCTCCTCGCTCCTCGCGTTCGGGCTCGGCCGTCGTGCCTTTGACCGCCGTGACGGCGGTGCACTGCAAGACGCCCTGCTTTGACGGGAGACGAGCTTGCTGGAGCTTGCTGGAGCCTTGCTGGAATTGTCGCGATAGGGAGCAAAGGCAGCTATGCCCGGCCTTTGCCATGCCATGCCAGGCCGCGCCTTCCGAGCTCTGCTTTTGTCGCTGTCTCTCTCGCACCCTCACGGGGCGCCCCGCGAGTGCGAGAGAGACAGCGCGACGAGAGCGGTGCTCGGAATCGGCCTGCTGCTCCGGCTCGCGGTCTTTAATTAGGACGGTTCTTATAACGGCCCGAGCCGGAACCGACGAGCCGGAACCGAACCCATTCCTTACGGGCGAATGTGAGGTCGCCAACTCGAGTCGTCGCTGTCGGAGACGCGCTCTGGAAGCGCACACAGACTCGCCGAATTTCCTCGCGCCGTCTCGGTCGGTCCTGGTGACTTATTTTGAAGTGATGCTATCGACGGTGGGTGGCGGGGCGGGGCGGCCCTCCCTTACTTTCCCCGGCGGCCGATCGGGCGACATGGGCCCGGGGCCGACTTGCCCTCGGCTTGCCGTGTGCCCTGGCGGATGTCAACTGGAGTATCGGGCGGCTGTGATCGCGAGCCCCGCCACGCCGTGCCCTGGCGTGCCCTGCCCTACCGTGCCCTGGCGTGCCCTGCCCTACCGTGCCCTGGCGTGCCGTGCCCTGCCATGCCGTGCCGGCCGAGGCTCGGCGCCCAAAGGTCCCTCTCCGTCCGCGTCCCCGTCCCACCCTTCGCGCCGCCGAGCCGAAGCCGCCATCGAGGAACAAGTACAGTTTTAATTGCTCGGCAATCCCACAAACTAGTGTAGCGTATGTAGCGTGGCGCGACGGACGCCCTGCTTGTCTGTCTGTCTGCCTGTCTGTCTGTCTGTCTGTCTGTCTGCCTGTCTGTCTGTCTGTCTGCCTGCCTGTCTGTCTGTCTGTCTGCCTGTCCGCGCACCGCGCCCCTTTCCATTATGCCTGTAGATGGAGCAGCACGACTCGTGAGACGCGAAGCCAGCCAGACAGCCCCCGCAGCATTCCGTAATCTCAAATTATGGTCGCTGCTCTCTTTTTTGCGCTTTTTATCGTTGTTGTTTTTGTTGTGCTGCTTTTCCTCTTTGCGTTCTAATGGCGCGCGCACTGCCTCATTCATTACTTGCCGGCCCGCAGACTGATTCCGAGCGGCGCTCTGCCTCTCTCTCTCTCGGCTGCGGGACGCCCCATGAGTGCGACAGAGGTCGAATGCAGCCTGTCGACGCGTCCCTTCGACAAAGTCACTCCGACACGTCAGCCAGCTTTTCATAAAAGTCACTCTCGGCCCGCCGCGCCGTCGCGCCCTGTTTTCGGCTTGGGCCGCCTGACTGCCGCCGCGCTGCATCCAGGTGCACGGGCCTCCGCCCTTCTCTAACGAAGCCCGATAATCGATGATCGATGCTGCCTCTCTCTCTCCCTCCCGCGGTCTCGAAACGACGTCGTCGACTTGATAAGCGTCTGGGCGGTACCGCATCGCATCGTCGCGACGCCAGGACGGCGACGGCGGCGTGGTCGTGGCGGCACGGCGCCGGGAGGGACGCGCAGCAACGCGCAGACGCATCGCTCGTTTTTGTGGCCGGCGTCGCCGTCGCCGGACGGGGCGGGCTCCGCCGCTCCTCCACCGCCACTACGGTGTGGTGGAAGCGACGGCGGCGTCGCGGCGGCGGGATCACTCCTTCGGTACACTCCCGGTCAAAACAACCCGCGGCCGTACTCGCGAACGTCCAGGCCGCCGCGCTGGAGAGGGACTGCCCGTCCCGGGCCGGGCCGGGCTTGCCGGGCCGGGCTTGCCGGGCTGCGGACTGATTCCGAGAGTCGTTTTCGTCGCTCTGTCTCTCTCGCGCCCATACGGGACGCCCCATGAGTGCGAGAGGGACAGAGCGACGAAAACGGCTCTCGGGGCCGTTCGGTGTGACGCGCTCATTTGTCAGGCGGGCCGGCCGGCCGAACTCCCTGCTTATCTGTCCCCGGTAGCCGCGCAGCCGGGCAGACCAGCAGAGCGCGGCCCAGCGCCATTTGTTATAAACTGTGAATTCGGCTCCTCGGACCGCCATGGCGCGCCACCGTCGCGTCCAGGGCGGGCTGGCGGGCCAGGGGCGTGTGTCCTGTCACGATAGCGCCCGCGCCTGTGTGTGCGTGCGTGCGTGTGCGTGTCTCTCTCCCTCTTGTCGGCGGCCATGCTCCGACTCAGCAGGCCATTCGTTTGACGCTTCGGTCCACACCGTCGCGGTTTGCCGTGGCGGTTTTGTTTCCTCCCCGCTCCTGGTTCTAATGACTTGTCATTCTCTCTGTTCGCAGTGGGTCGAGGAGTCGTTCACCAACTTCGACAAAGGCATCAACTGGCGGTCGTACGTGGTGTGCGACGTCGCCTACAACAACGTCAACAACTGGCTGTGGACGCCCTTCATCGAGCGGGGCATCGCCAACCGCATCTACATCGAGATCAAGTTCACGATCCGGGACTGCTCGTTGTTCCCCGGCAACGCGCTCTCCTGCAAGGAGACCTTCTCGCTGCTGTACTACGAGTTCGACGCCGCCACCAAGGAGCCGCCGCCGTGGGAGCCCGAGAGCTACAAGATGATCGGTGAGTTGGGAGCGCCGCCTGATTAGCCGCCGAGTGGGGCGGAGAGAGGACCGGTTCAGGCCTATAGGCGCCTTTTCAACTCTTTCGTCCTCGAAGTCGACATGAAAGTGTCGTTTCCGCCCGGGGCGGCCTCAAAGGCACGCCGCGCACGCCATGCCGACCGCGTGCGATTGGCGTACCAACACGGGGCATTGTTCGTCTTCCGGAGGGTGCGGGGCGGGGCGGGGCGGGGCGGGGCGGGGCGGGCGGGGCGGGGCGGGGCGGGGCGGGGCGGCCCACAGCGGCCCACAGCGGCCCGCCGGCCCAAAGTTGTTTGCATCGTTTGGCAATGCCATTCTGGCGCTCCGAATCGAGAGGCCCAGAGTGCATGGTGAAGGGTTGCCGCGAGGGGCGCCGAAAAGGGGCGAAAGGAGGCGGGGCATCGCATTGAGCCTCATTTCCGGGTGAATTAGTGCGGCCCCGGCGTAAACCAGCGGGGAAAGCAAGCGTGGGGGAAATCCGAAATCCCTCGCCAAAACGTAGCCCCCGTTTCCAATCCACGTGAGTACGCCGTGCTGCACCTCGCCGACGTCCGGCCTGTCCGGCCTGTGTGTGCGAGAGAGAGGGAGAGTGCGTGTGCCGGGGTGCTAACGCTCGGTTTGCATTCTCTTCCGGTCGCGGCCCTCTTTTCTCCCGCCCCCATAAATCTACGACCCCAGGCTGCCTCTAGTGCCGCTGCTGCCTCGGCCTGGCTCCCTCACCTGCAATCCCCCCCCCCCCTCCCCCCGCCAGATGGCCCCGCCCCGGCCCCGCGGCGCCCCGCGGCCTTGCGAGGTCGAAACGAAAGCAGCGTTTGCCCGCGTTTGCCAGTGCCGGGGCCGCTCTCTTGCTCGACCCGTGTGATAAATGAAATTGAGGCATAAATTTGGGTTCCCGTTAAGGCTGGGGGTAAAAAAGAGAGGAACAGCAACACGAGTGTGGAAGGAGGCACGGCCCACTGTTCTCCGTGCTCGGCCTCTGTGTTAGTGTGTGTGTGTGTGTGTGTGTGTGTGTGTGTGTGTGTCAGTGTGTGTGTGTCAGTGAGTGTCTGTGTGTGTGTTTGGCTCGTGTTCGGCACGACCAGCGCACCGCCACCGCCGCCGCGTCGACCCCATCTCGACTCGACTCGACCGCGGTTTCGGCTAAGTGAAGCCGGGCCGGGGCTTTGGCCTGGTGTTATCCTGGGCAAATTGGAGGCGAGGCGCATAAAGGCGCGGCGGGGCAGGGCGGGGCGGGGCGGGGCGGGGCAGATGCCCCGACTACACTCCTGCCCAGTGCCTCGGCAGCCTAGGAGGACGATGTCGTCCCGGAATGCCTCCTGGCCCGGAGCCCGGGTGCTGCTGGGTCCGGGGGCCGAGCCGGAGGCCAGGGGGCTTGCGTCCGGATTTGCTCGCTTGCCTTGTCGTAAGGGCGAGGCGTGGCACGGCGTGGATTGGAGTGGAGCCGTTATGAGGCAATCTCGGGCGACTGCGCGTCGCAGTCTGGGACGGCCCGGACGGCCTATGGCCTATGGCTCGACCCCGGCCCATGGCTTGGCCTATGGCTCGGCCTGGGGGGCTGCTGTGGCACACAGGCCGATGCGCCCCTCCCCGAAATCCATGTCCGAATCCGGAAGGCAGACAAGCAGATTGAAAAAGAATCGAGGTCGAAAACCCCCCGTTGTCGCCCCTCGCGCCTTTCTGTCCCTTTCTTGAGAGATAATGTTCCAAAACGGCTCCGGGGTTTTGACGGGGCCGCGGTTGCCGCCGCATACCGCACTGTTAACTCGCCTCACGAGATGATTTTGCAGGCAGTGAGTCTGGCTGCGCGAGGGGCTGCGAGTGCGATGCAGATGGGTGCGGGACGCGGCGGGACGCGGCGGGACGCGGCGGGACGCGGCGGGACGCGGCGGGACGCGGCGGGACGAGGCCACCGGTTTAGATTGCGGCCTTGTTTATGTGTTGTCGGTGCTGCAGTGTGCTGCACTCGGCCCGGCTCGGCCCCACCGCACCGCAGCACGGCACCGCGGCCGGGCCCGCCCTGGTGCCGGCAGGCAAGGCAGCCCGGCAGGCAGTAAAGCACAATCAGAGTGCACGCGGCGCTGCTCATGAGCGGAATTGTATTTTGCTGTAAGGGATTTACGGCGCACTGATTCCGAGAGTCGTTCTCGCCGCTCTGTCCCTCTCGCACTCGTGGCGCGTGTCTGCATGGCTGGGTGCGAGAGAGACAGAGCGACGCGGTCTGTGTGGAGACGAGCTTCTGACGACGACGCTTGCTTTTGTTTTGGCAGGTCGGATAGCCGCGGGCGAGGGCCGCTTCAACCAGCCCACCAACAGCGAGGTCATCATCAACTCGGAGGTCAAGTCCATCCCCGTCAACAAGAAGGGCGTGTACTTCGCGTTCCGCGACCAGGGCGCCTGCATCTCCCTGCTCGCCATCAAGGTAAGCACAGTGGGTTAGAAGACAGCTGGTGGCGGCCACAAGACGCGTTTTGAGCTCCAGAGTCGCTAAACTGGACTGAAACCGAACGTGTGACCCCACCAATGGATTGCTCTCCGAACGAGGAGTCCATTGGTGGGGTCACACGTTCGGTTCGAGCCCCGTTAGGCGACTCTGGAACTCTAAACGCGTCTAGAATTTGGTCCGCCTCCACCAGCCTGCCGGCGGAGGGAGCGCCTGCGAGGTAGGCAGCCCACGCCCGACGGCGTGCTGCTGTGCCGCCGGGTTGCCTACTTCGCAGGCGCCAAGCGCTCGCGGCGCGGCGGCCAGCAGCCTGGTCCCGAACAGTGCAGCCCTCGATGTGTCTCTTTCACACTCGCGGACCGTCCCGTCGGGGTGCGAGAGAGACAGAGCGACGAGCCACTGCCCGTAGACAGCCTGCTGGGCGGTGCCGGCTCGTTGCCCCGGCGGCGGGCCAGGCCGTTACGGCCGCCAAGTCGGCTGCCAGGTACCATCACGGAACGACCCCGTCAATACTCCTCGCACAAAAGATGTCCACACTGGGGGCCATTCGGCGCGGGGTATCGCCGGGTCGCTTCTTTTTCCTCCTGACAGCGCCATGGCTCTCCTCTGCGTCCTTCCCGCGAGTACTCCAACAACTCCCGGCCGTCCTCGAGCTGAGCTGGGGCCGGTCCCGAAGGCCGTTGTCGAGTAGTTTGCCAGAGTGATGCTGAAGGAATGCGGGCAAGCCGAGCGCGTAATGCCTCTCGGAAATTCAAAGTGGTTCCGACTTGTCTCAAAGGCGTGCGACAGACAGGGAGCCAGCCACGTGGCCGCGCCGCCGCGCCGCCGCGCGTCACTTAGGAGCTCATCTTCCTCGCCATCATCATCAGCATCGTCCTCCACGCCGTCTTCATCGTCGTAATATATTTCATTACCCGGAGCGGAGTGCAAATGGCGCCGCGGTGCTCGCTTTGACGGTGTCGTGACGCCGTCATTGTCCGCCGTGCGGTGCCGGGACTCGGCGGGGCGCTGTCAGAGTGTCACAGTCGCCGTTGCCGTTTTTCCGCTGTAACCGCAAGCCCCGACCGCCGCGGGTTCAAACACCCGCCACACCATCATTTTGTTTTGTTTTTGGAGCCGCCACTAATGCACCTTCCCGTCTTCCAGGTGTACTACATCACCTGCCCGGAGACGACCGTCAACTTCGCGCGGTTCCCGCCGACGCCGACGGGCCGCGAGGTGACGGTCATCGAGCAGGCCACCGGCAAGTGCGTGGACAACGCCGAGGAGGTGGAGATCCCCACGTACCTGTGCAAGGGCGACGGCAAGTGGTACCTGCCCACCGGCGGCTGCAAGTGCAAGGCGGGCTTCGAGGCCGACGTCGAGAAGCAGTCGTGCAACGGTAAGTGTGCTAAGTGCCAGTGTAGTGGCACCCCCCGCGGGCCGCCGCACAGTGGATTTGCCAGAAGACCGGTGGAGGCGGCCAGAACTCTCGACGCGTTTTGAGCTCCAGAGTCGCTACATGGTACTCGGGCCGAGCGTGTAACCCCACCAATGGATTGCTCGTTAGGAGAGCAGTTGGAGTCACACGTTCGGCCCGAGTACCATGTAGCGACTCTGGAGCTCAAAACGCGTCCGGGATTTTGACCACCTCCACCGGTCTTCTGGCCAACTGTGCGCCGTGGGGACGCTTGAAACTAATCGCCGTCATTGGGGGTGGGGGGGCGAATTGCGGGGCGCCCAATACGGGATGTTTGCAGAGCATTAGACGGAGAAGTGCGTACCGCGATGCGCAGGCCGGGGGTGGGGGTGGGGGTGTTTGCAGTGCGTTGGACACAGAGAGAGTGTATCAGTCGCTAGACGTCCTCGTGACTGATGCTACAGCACTACCGGGGCAAAGCGACCGACCCACTGGAAGCTGGAGGCGCCCTGGAGGCCGCACGGCACCGGATCCCCTCACTGCTTCAGACTGCTTGAGCCCCTAGTTCGATTCGGCTGGCGGGCGGGCGGCGGCGCAGGGGTCTAGTAGTTGTCCCGGGGTGGGGCGGGGGCAGGGCAGGGCGGCCAGAGCGGCGACTGTCCCGGCCCGTGGGCTGGCGGTGCTGGCCGTGCTGGTGGGGGGCACAGCAGGCAGATCCCGAAAGCTGCTTTTCGTCGCGCTGTCTCTCTCGCGCTCGCGGGGCGTGCCGTAGGGGTGCGAGGGAGGCAGAGCGACGAAGCCTACGGGCCACGGCCCGCGGCGGCACGCGGCGACCCTTGTAAGTCGCCCGATAACTCCCGCCATAATTGAGGTCAGCGTTGTCTCCCCCCGCCGCCCCCGCCACCCCCACCGCCCCCGGTGGCCCACCGAGTGGCTGCCGTTTGGCGCGCTCCGGCCTTCCCGCCGTCGGCCCGTCGGATTGCCGCACAATTGTTGGCTCCTTTCTTTTCCCGCCCTTTTTCTGCGCGGCTGTACGTGGGCGTCGGCCGGTCGGCCGCGGCGCCGCCACGCCTCGCTATTCAAAGAGAGAACCGGGAAATGGCTGCGGCCTGCCTCCCTGCCTGGCGCCTCGCGGCCCGGCCGCACGGAGTACGGAGCGCACGCGGCGGCGTTAAAATAAATCTTAAACTTTGGCGGGCCGTCGGGTTTAGAGCCCGGCGCGGTGCGGCGCGGCGCACGGCGGGCCCTCCGCGACCCAATACGTACGTACTTGGCCCCCCGCCACCCCCTTCCCTCCTCTCGCCGTCTCTCTCCGCCGCCCCTCCACACACTAACTTCTCGCTCACTCTAGTTTTTCAAAGCCAATTGAGAAAGGGGGGGGGGGGCATAGAACACCTTGGAGTGTCTTGGCCGCGGAGCGCAGCTGCTCGGCCCACTCCGCCTGCTCCGCCCGATGTTTGATTTATGTTCACCACTCGCTCTGTAGACTAGCGCAACTTTCCCTTCTTTTATTTTTTCTCGTCTTGTTTCAGCTCTTTTTATTATGCACATTCTATTTTTGCTTGTTCTTTCCGCGGTCTGCTGCTCCCTGCCTATGTTTTGTTTACGTGTGCGTAACTTTTTTTTTTCATTTTTTTTGTATGAGTGTGTAGGGGTGGGGGCCACCTGTGTTTGCCGTCCCTTGCCAAGTTTGCCTCGGTTTGCCCTCAGCGACGCTTCCTTGCCCCGCCTTGCCCCCGAATCTCCGAAGCCGACCGATGCGACGCGGCGACGCGGCTCCGGTCGGACAACAATGTCCTCTCCGTATAGCCCCGGCCACCCCGGCCATCCCAGCAATTTCCTGCAGCAGCGGACTTTGTTGGATTTTGTTCCGACGCGGCAGCGAGTGGCAGCCGTGGCAGGCCAGCGTGCTGCGCCAAGTCGATTTACGACGTTTCTCCCCGCGGCATCGCAGGGTTTGTCTACTCTTTCGCGACAGTGTAGCCTTACTGGGACACTGCCCTGATGAAGTGCGGCCCGGCCAAGCCAGCTGAGCGATCGCTCTGTCTCTCTCGCACCTTCATGGAGACCTCCGTGAGTGCGACAGAGACAGAGCGACGAACCGCCGGCTTCCCGTTGGCCGTCGGCGCCGTCGGCGGAATCCTCGCATTGGGCGGGTCACGGCGACGGGGCGACGGGTCATGCGGTGCCGTCCTGCCGTTGCTGCGCTCCGCGTTGCATTGCAAATTTAATGCAGATGTCCCGCAACTTTATCCCCTCTCATCCCCCGCACGCATTCCTTGACCCGATTGCATCCGATTGCATCTGCCGCCTCCTCGGCGAGGACGTCGGCGAGGACGCTTTTTGGGCGAAACGCTGCCCCGCTTGCTTTTGTTTTTGTTTCACTCGTCGTGCTTTCTTATCCCCCCCTTTTCCCGCCAAAAGATTCAAACGCAAGCCGCGCCGCGTCGACCGCGCGGGCGGGGCGGTGCAGCTGTGGTTTGAGTGGTGGCCGGGCCGCTGCCTGCCGCCGACCCATTCCGAGAGTCGTCTTTGTCGCTCTGTCTCTCTCGCACTCGTGGAGCGTCCCGTCTAGGTGCGAGAGAGACGGTGCGGCGAAAACGGCTCTCAGTCTGCTGGGCACTGCGCCGGCTTGCTGGGATTCCGGCGTGTCCGACGTGTACATTGCGGGGACCGGCCGGCCCCGCGGCCCCGCTCTCCCTGCTGGCCGCTACGCAGCGCTGTGCGCGCTGTGCGCGCTGTGCGGCTCTCGTAAATGGAATAGAGGCCGTGTCCGTGCCGTCCGTGGTCCGTACTCCGTACTGTATGCATATTTACCGTGGCAATGCGGCCGGCACGACGCCGCCGCTGGGCCGCCGGGCCGCCAGGCCGCTACACTGCACAGACCGGCACAGACACGGGCCGGCCGCCCCGCCCCGCCCCGCCCCTTGCTGACGCGGGGACAACTTTTTAATTAAAAGGGCACTCGGGTCCTTGGCGTCTCACGCCTCGCCTCTCCCAGCGCTGCGCCGTTCGGCTTGGCGTTCGGCTTGGCGTTCGGCCGTTCGGGTCATGTCCCCGAGGTATCGTTGCAGAGCCAGGCCACCAGACCTCCGCCCGTCCGGCAGCAACGCGGCACACACTGTACTCTCCGCTCTCCTTGCCCATTTTCAGCCGTTTTTCCACTCTTATTTTTAACTTTTCTAAAAAACAGTTTCCATGTTTTTCATTTTATTTTTATTACGCTGCGTGGAAGCCAGTGGGCAAGCCTGTGGGCAAGGCAGCGGCGGACTCCCGGACCCCACACGGCGCTACGGCGGGCTGCCCGGGCTGCCCGGACCCGGTACACGCACCTCCCCCCCCCCCCTTCCTTCCAGCTGCTCCCAGCCGCTTCCAGCCCGGATCATTCCTTGATACGTTATCGGCTCCCCCTTCCCCTTCCCCTCCCCACTCATCTGCGCACTGGCCGTGCTGGCCGTGCTGGCCGTGCCCGAAGGCTGGCGGGAGGTGCGTCATAGAGAAGTCCCGCTCTGGAGGTTCCCAGCGCTGGCCGTGCAGGCCGACGGCAGGCCGTGGGTTCGAACGTTCGAACACCGGCGGGGACCTTTTTCCTCTCGGTCCGCTTAGGTATGCCTGGCGCTCTCGTTGCACCAGGCTGGCGCTGAACGGGTCACATTCGTCGCTGCGTCTCTCTCGCACTCACGGCGGGCGTCGCGCGGAGTGCGAGAGAGCGGCGCCCTGTTCGGAGCGAGACTAGGGCAGGCGGCTCCACGGCTGAGGCTCGCGAGTCCTTCTAACGGTGTCTCTGTAATGAAGCCATACGGTGAACGCCAAACGCAGTGCGGCTTCTCGTGGCGCACTTTGTCCTCGATCTATTGGGAATCGCGGCGCCGCGTTCCTGTGCGCACTTGCACCGCGAGGCTTGGGCCGCCGCCGCGACGCACAGTGAGCCAGAAGGCCGGTGGAGGCGGCCAAAACTCCAGACGCGTTTTGAGCTCCAGAGTCGCTAAATGGGACACCAACCGAACGTGTAACCCCACCAATGGATTCCTCGTTCGGAGAGCCGTCCATTGGTGGGGTCACACGTACGGTTCGAGTCCTGTTTAGCGACTCTGGAGCTCAAAACGCGTCTAGGCTTTTGGCCGCCTCCGCCCACTGCGCGCCGCCGTGAAGCTCTGCCGAGCGACTCGGAAGCACTGCTCGTCGCTCTGTCTCTCTCGCACCCTCACGGAGAGCCTCATGAGTGCGACAGAGACAGAGCGACGAGACGGCTCCTCCAAATCGCTCGGCTGGACGCGCGGTGGCGACAAGCCACAAGTGTGTGTGCGGTGGCGCGCCGCGGCCCCTTGGTCTTCTTGTGGTGGGCCAGCGAGGACTGCGGAGCTGCGGAGGAGTGGGGCTGTCACCCCTGTCCCCTGTTGACGCCAGAAGGCGGTGGCGGCGGGGGCGGCGGGGGCGGCCGGGTCCCACAGTCCCGCGGCCAACTTGGTTAAACTTTGGCGCGCTTTTTAGTGCGTGCAAAACGAGCGGGGCGGAGCAGGGCGGGGCGGCCCTGGAGAAGGAGAAGCAAGTGGGAGCTAGCGACGCTGCTGGAGCAATTAGGACTGGACTTGGGAGTCTTGGCTGGCGGTGCTGGCGGTGTGACGGCCGTTCGCCAACTGCCATCACTCAGCGCGACTCGCTCCTCGGCGCCTTATCTGCCGCACTGCCCTCCGCTCCGCCAGGCTTGGCCAGGCAGGCCACCGTAGGGCCTCGCCCTTCCCACTCGCCGCTTATTAATACTCCATTCTGCGGAATGAACAGCGCTTCCGTCGCTCTGTCTCTGTCACTCTCGTCCCCTGGCGTCTCGCAGGGAGTGGTGGGGGCCAAAATTCTGGACGCGTTTTGAGCTCCACGAGTGCGAGAGACACAGCGAGGGCTGCACTGTTCGGGACCAGGCTGCTGGCCGCCGCGCCGCGAGCGCTTGGCGCCTGCGAAGTCGGGATAGGCAACCCGGCGGCACAGCAGCACGCCGTCGGGCGTGGGCTGCCTACCTCGCAGGCGCTCCCTCCGCCGGCAGGCTGGTGGAGGCGGACCAAATTCTAGACGCGTTTTGAGTTCCAGAGTCGCCTAACGGGGCTCGAACCGAACGTGTGACTCCACCAATGGACTCCTCGTTCGGAGAGCAATCCATTGGTGGGGTCACACGTTCGGTTCCAGTCCCATCTGGCGACTGTGGAGCCCAAAACCCGTCCGGGACTTTAGCCGCCTCCATCGGTCTTCTGGCCTGGGCGGGCTGGGGCGCCTGGAGTGCTCCCAGTGTCCAGGGCGTCCAGGACGTCCAGGGTGACGGGCTTGATGCCCTCCAGTGGGCATGCCGCTGCAAGGGCGGCGCCGGACGCAACAGAGCGCACGGAAAGCTGGGGAAGGCTGGGGCCAAAAGCCGAAAGCAGGCAAAAGTCTTAATAAAGCGGAAGTGCAGCGGTTAACGCCGCCGTGTCCTCCACAACTTTGTTGCCATGGCGACAGCGCGACAGCGCGGGCCTCCAAGGCGAGGCTCCCGTAATACGCCTCTCCCCAGCCCCACCTGGGCGGCCCGGCCTTGCCCCTCGGACCCCACGTCCCCACCTCACCCCCACCCCACCCCCACCTGCAGCCTGAAGCACCCTTTGACGAAAAATTCCATCACGCTCCCGTTGCCGCCCACACTCTTTTCTACTTCTTTCTCTCTCTCTCTCTCTCTCTCTCTCTCTCTCTCTCTCTCTCTCTCTCTCTCTCTCTCTCTCTCTCTCTCTCTCTCTCTCTCTCTCTCTCTCTCTCTCTCTCTCTCTCTCTCTCTCTCTCTCTCTCCCTCTCCCTCGTCCGTAAGGGGTGGTTTCGGGCCTTGGAGGTTGGGGAGGCGAGAGTCCTGAACCTCTCAGAGGAGGCGCGCTGCACAGTGGGCCAGAAGGCCGGTGGAGGAGGTCAAAACCCCGGACGCGTTTTGAGCTCCAGGGTCGCTAAATGGGACTCGAACCGAACGTGTGACCCCCACCAATGGATTGTTCTCCGAACGAGGAATCCATTGATGGAGTCACACGTTCGTTTCGAGTCCTGTTTAGCGACTCTGAAGCTCAATACGCGTCCAGAGTTTTGGCCGCCTCCGCCGGTCTTCTGGCCCACTGTGCTCTGGGTCGGCCAAGAACGCGGGGAGTTCGAAGAGGGAACGCGGGGAATGCATGGCTGCATGGCGGCATCGTTGAGGAGAGGAGGGAGCACGCCCAGCACGCCGAGCACGGCTAGACGGTCATGGTATGCTTGTTCTGTTGCAGTGTGCGCGCCCGGCAAGTACAAGCACGGCACCGGCGACGACCGCTGCCAGCCCTGCCCGGAGTACAGCAAGGCGCCCGACTACGGCTTCTCCGAGTGCCGCTGCAACGCGGGCTACTACCGCGCGCCCAGCGACCCCAAGAGCATGCCGTGCACGAGTAAGTCCAGCGTCGCAGTGCGTCGCAGTCGAACAGCCCAAGATTGATAAATAACCCATTTCTTTTCTTTTCGCTCAGAACCACCATCTGCGCCCCAAAACCTGACGGTCAACTTCGTCGACCAGTCGACTGTCATATTGTCCTGGTCAGTGCCGCAGTTCCTCGGAGGACGGTTGGACACCATGTACAGGGTTGCGTGTGATACTTGTGGGAACACTGTATCCTACATACCCAATTCTGTAAGTTGTGGGCATTCACCATTTTTTCTTATCATTCATTAGATTTATTCCTAACCTTTCTTTTTAAAATTGTAGGATGTCTTTAATGACACTAAAGTTACCATCACTGGGCTCAACCCCGTCACCCAATACCGATTTAAAGTATTTGCTGAAAATGGTGTGACGGAGTTAGTTGGTGACAGTGATTTTGTTGATATCACTGTAACAACGGAAGCTTCTGTGACTTCATCTGTGACAAATGTTAGAGTAACAAGTGTCAAGTCGACTGAGTTATCCCTGGCATGGGATGCTCCGTTAACCAATGAAGCAGCAGATAATGAAGGTGACACTGTTGAAGTGTATGAGGTGAGAATTGAAATAGATGCTTTGCATGTAGGTAATAGCCACAGTTAGCTTGACTAAGTTTCTGACCAAATTCCATCATCTCACTCAGGTACGATGCCATCCCCGAAATAATGACAACAATGCTACAAGTCAACTCACTAAAGAAAACCATGTAACAATCACTGGCCTACGTCAACGCACAGAGTATGGCTTTGCTGTGCGTGCCAAAACCACTCATGGATGGGGTGATTTTAGTCCAACAATATTTAAGACTACTGGTCAAGTTTTGGGTGAGTGACTCAACTTTTTCTTAGAAATGTAACATCAAATGTAACTTAAGAATTATTAAATGGTATGTTTCTTTCCAGCCTATGTTGGAGATGACGATAATATGCAAGTGCGCATTATAGCTGGAGCTACTGTTGCTGTTGTCGTTTTACTGGTTATCATTATCATCATGACTGTCCTGTTCCTCAGAAGGTATATGAGGTTTAAAAATACCTTTTTTGGATTTTCATTCAAAATCTCTACTAAGTAAATTACCCTGGGTTTTTTTTTTGGTTTTGTTTTGTTTTTTTTGCAGCAGAGGAAGTGATGAGTGTAACAAGAAGCAGCCTAGTGATTGTGATACATTAGAATATCGCAATGGTGAAGGTTTGTTAATTTTGTGTTTTAAAACAGCCTCCTTACTAACAAGTTTATTCTTGCCAACCAATTTCTTTAAGGGTCTCTTCATTTTTATTTTCTTTCATGGAGCTATTTTCCCATCTAACCCGTATCTTAACATGTAAAAGATCACTGTATTTGCTTACAGTGAGGAATAAATTTTGTTGAAGTCATTCAATAATTTTTAGCCACCTGTGTTTTTATTTGGTCTAAACAAAAAATCATCTGATACTTATTAATTAATATTTGGGGCCTGTTCTCTTCCCTTATGGTTTAACAGAAAAAATTCTTTTCTTTATTCTTTATTTTTCTTCTTTTTCATGCAATCGTCCACGATCAGGACTAGTTGTCACATACAGTAAGTTGTCTCTTCTTGCTATTTTCCTATAGTTCAAAGAGATTGTATGAAAGTAGTGGACTGATCTCATTCTGCACGAAGCATGGCCCTTTGTCCTATCTCTATTGAAGTTAAAGCTTTTCTTTTCATTACATTTGAAGACTTGTTCCTTGCTTTTTTTTTCCTTTATCTGTCCACATTTGAGAGTAAATTAGAATTTAAAAATTAGTGTATTAGACAGTAGTTTTTCTTCTTAGTGTCTTGATCTGACAAGTTCTTTTCTTTTCTTTGTTTACACTGTTTATATTGGTTGCTTCTTTCGTTATGCCTGCTACTGCGAGCCTTGTGATCTCCCTCTTTTCCTGCCGTTTTCCTTAATACTTGACCAATATTTTCAGATTATGTAGTGCTTGTGTTTTTGTTGTTTTTTTTCTGCTTGTAGCAAGCTTCACTGTTTAACTGTAAATTATTTTATCATTTCAGTGCATTGCAATTTGGATAATCCCCCCATAGTAACAACCCATACGAATGGAAGTAAGTGCTTGAATTACATCCACAATTTTGCTTTCTAGAAGAACACTAAGTCACAGGTCTGGATGACCTCATATGTCTCAGAGTTGACTGCAAAATAGTCCCTCAAAGCGACCATTTTGTGATTTTATTTTTCTGGACATTTGTTATTTTTCTTGACCTTAATGTGATTTTTGCGTTCTGCTAGGGATCTATTTCAATTATTTAGTGGTATGCAGCACTTTGCTTTTAGTGTATTGAGTATACGGCGTGAGAAAGTTTAGATAGCTTTTCCTATTTAACTTATGAAAACTTGGCGTTTCTCTGCATGGTGCACATTTTTTCCCATACTAAAAGCACATCTCCTTGCCTGCAGTGACAACGCCTCTCTTCACACAAGTCGGGCCATCTTCCCGGACCTACATCGATCCCCACACTTATGAAGACCCCAACCAGGCAGTACGCGAATTCGCACGTGAAATTGACGCATCCTGTATAACCATCGAAGCTATTATTGGTACGTAGTCCCCCCAAAACCTTCATCTCCACTGTACAACCTTCAATCATGTTGGACCTGCCGCACCTGGAAATCATGTTACTAGAGTTTGCTTAAAATAGACTTTTCTGGTTTAGGAACAGAAAATTCTCACATAGCATTAGTGGTTAGATTAGCAAAGTTAGCATAAGATTGCCTTCATCTATCGTCCAGATGCGTAACACTGCTACATCTTTTGATTTTATTACAGGTGGAGGTGAATTTGGAGATGTCTGCCGTGGCAAACTGAAACTACCCCCTGATGGGCGATTAGAAATAGATGTGGCAATAAAAACTTTGAAGCCGGGTAGTTCAGACAAAGCAAGAAATGACTTCTTAACAGAAGCCTCAATTATGGGACAGTTCGAGCACCCGAATGTTATCTTTTTACAGGGTGTTGTCACCAAGAGCAACCCTGTTATGATTATAACTGAGTACATGGAGAATGGTTCTCTGGACACATTCCTTAGGGTATGTTTTCTTTTACCACCTGCCAACCAATTCAATTATTTCCAAATCACTTAAAAGCAACATGGTTGTTTGTTTCTGTGCAGGCAAATGATGGAAAATTCCAAGTTTTACAACTTGTAGGAATGTTAAGAGGTATTGCCTCTGGTATGCAATACTTATCAGAAATGAATTATGTACATCGTGATTTAGCTGCACGAAATGTGTTGGTAAATGCTCAATTAGTCTGCAAAATAGCAGATTTTGGCTTGAGCAGAGAAATGGAGAGTGCCACTGAAGGAGCATACACAACACGGGTAAGCCTTGAGTCAACCACTATTGCCCATGGAAAGTTTCTTACGAATGTGAAGTCTCATAATTTTTTACATTGCTTGTAGGGTGGGAAAATACCAGTAAGATGGACAGCCCCTGAAGCAATAGCTTTCCGCAAATTCACTTCAGCATCAGATGTGTGGTCATTTGGCATCGTCTGCTGGGAAGTTATGTCTTATGGGGAGCGACCATACTGGAATTGGAGCAACCAGGATGTCATCAAATCCATTGAAAAGGGTTATAGGTATGCTAATGATAAATTTTCTTATACAGAATTGCTCTTTAGTATCTTTTGTTTGATATCACTTTGAGATTTCAAAGTTATTTATGAATGAATGTCTATCTTTCTTCAGATTGCCTGCACCAATGGACTGCCCTGAAGCTATTTATCAACTTATGCTTGATTGCTGGCAGAAGGAGCGAACACATAGGCCTACTTTTGAGTCCATTGTGAAGACTTTGGATAAACTTATACGTTGTCCTGATACGTTACGTAAAATTGCCCAAAACAGGTATGTTTCACTTATGATTTAAAAAATAAATATTAAACAAGTGGTGAGAGGCCCTTGAAATCACTTGTGCAGAAAATTCTTCATTCAATTAATGTTCTTGAAAGTAGTTTGATAAGCTTACATACTGCAGCATGGCAATTATTAACAATGCAGACTACTAAGCTTTTATATACTGTTTGGCACTACAGCTTTCCTTTAACTTAATTTCTGGATAAGATCCTTTTGGCTTAAAAGTATGATCCATATTGAATCCTTGCATTTTTGAGAGATTCCCTTGTTTTTGTCAATTCAAAATAAATGCTTGGACACTTCACATTCTAATAACGTCCGCACTGAAATTTGTTAGATATTATTCTGAGTTTTCATCTATGGATTATGTATAATACACCATTTGTTGCGGCCGTTTACTAGTTATGATTACCTTTTTCCTTTTCTCTGTCTTTTTTCAAAAAAAGACTAATTCATCTCTTTTGTCCTAATACTGGTTTCTGCTAACACGTCCAACTTTTCTGTCCATTAATGTACTGCTGTGTTCCGCTGATTTTTTCGTTGATTTTGCCCAAAACTCCATGAGCACTGTTTTAAATGGAGCATGGCTTTGTTGACTAACAATACATGACACAAAGGCTTATGGATAGTAACAGCCGCCTTTGGGCTGAGTAATTAAAGAATGGAAGCAACTTTTAATCAACTTAATGAAATATATTTCTGTTAGTTTTGTGATTTAGTTGTTTGATGTCTTTTTCAAGAAAACGTTGTGGCCTTTGTGTTACATTTTAGACTTTGTGTGTGTGTTCTTTTTTTTTGTTTTTTTATTTTTATTTTCCTTTATTGAGTTTTAATTTTCATCTGGTGTTGGGAAGAAGAGGGAGGGGGTGATTTATTTTTAGTCATCTTAATTTATGAACAGACTATTTTTGAAGCCAAACAATGGGTCTACTGACTCATTCCGATTAACTCAGTACAGGTTTAACCAAAAGCTGATGAGTTCCACTATGTTCAGAATTTGATAAGGCAATTGTGACAGAGACAACTTTGACATAGCTTGGTTTATTTCCGTTAGTATTTTTATTAGAAAGTGCTTAATTTGTTTAATTTCTTAATTTGGGGTTATTTTTTTTTTCTGGAACATGGCAGACGTCAGCCCCTGCATAATCCCTACTACACTCATGTGGCGTTTAGACCTCCAGAATGGGTGCAGTTTAACCACTTGGGTTAGGGTGGGTGATGGTGCAAGACCACAATGTCACCCTGCAAGGTATGGTAGCTTTCATTTTTGTTTGGTTCCCCCCTCCTTCCCTACCAATAGAAGGCATGCCTGTTCTGAAGGTGGTTTTGTAGTGAACATGATTGTTTCCAGTATGTCTTCTCTATTGCATTGTCAGTTTTATATTCTACTGTCTAGTGCTCCTCTAATGCTTTCTAATCTGTTTCTATGAAAATTTTGGTTACAACCATACTGTTTCTGGTGAAAATGCATGCTCGGTTTTTGATTGTAAAGTCTCATTTAATTTTTTTATCTCATAGACCTTGCAAACTGGCGTTGCTTTAGAATTTTATTTCATATTTTGACTTGCGAGTATCATTGACTTTTGCCAAGATGTATACATCTCTACATTAGGAATTCATTTTGCTTATTTGTTGATGCTTCTTTTTTAAAAAAAAAAAAAAAAAAAAAGCTCACCGTGACTGTCTGAATATGAGCCCTATCTTCCCAAGTTTTGTTTTCAAAGGGGCTTATATTCAGACTATATCGGTAGTATTGCCTGATTTCTTACAATATCATAGTGCTTGCTTTGCTGTTGCTCTCTTAAATAACAGTGAGACAGTTCTGTAGTAATTATACTCCAGTCTCAACCTTAACTGCTTAGCACTTTCTCAGAAATAACACATGTTACCTGCTCTGTTACAGAACTGTTAATCCACTGGCACCGGATGCACCAGATATGACCCAGTTCACTACTGTTGAAGAATGGCTCAATTCAATCAAGATGACTCGCTATTTAGAAAACTTTGAACATGCAGGGATTACCAGCATGGATGCAGTCGTTCGTGTGACAGTCAAGGAGCTTACCGCTCTTGGCATCACACTTGTGGGACATCAGAAGAAGATAATGAACAGTGTTCAAGCCATGCGGGCACAGATCTCAGCAAACCTGTCCGAAGGCTTCTTGGTTTAGTGTTGAGCATTACATCACATGGACATTAAATGCAATCAAGTGATGCTCAAATTTCGTCCTATGTACAAAAACAAACCTCGTGTTCAGTTTTTGCAAAGTCTGATTGCTTTCCTTATGACTCGTTCACCGCAAAGAAAGCATAAATTATGAAAATCATTCTTAATACAAAGAAATTAGACGGTATGAATTTTGTATTTTCATTGTAAGTAACCCTACTTTAAGTGAAGTAATTTCTGTAAGCAGAAATAAGTGTGTACTCTTTGTTTGTTACATTTCACGAGTTTTGTACTCCAGTCAATGTGAATATGTAGCAGATTTTAATGACACATTCGTCCATGCACTTTAAATTGATAATTATTTGAAATGCATACCTGCCTTTTCTCCAAGCAATATGGTTTGATTGTTCTAAGAAGCATGTTAAGGTGTCCGAACTGTTGCACCTTGCAATTAAATTAATTCCAGTATTTCCTTGGAGGTTGAAGTTCTGCTTGTAATCTTGTTATTAATGTATAAAAGTGTTGCACTTCATTGTAAATTTGTAAAAAAGGAAATTACCAATTTAAATGAGAAGGCGCTAATGTTTGAATGTTGCCAAATGAAATAGGTGAATTGAATTATATTTCTGTGCATATGGGTTATGCTAGGAATCATGTGATGTTAAAATTTTAATTGTAGCCATGGAACAAGTCAACGCTTTGTAATTTTCTTAAATGTTAATATTATCTTTTAAAAAATGTAAATTTGAGAAGGTACTGTATTTGTGTAATTATTATTGCCATTATATGTAAATTTACTCATGTGTGAACAGTTGATGCATTGTAAATGAGATTTCTGATATAATACGTATCACTGCCCAACCCTGTTTGTTTGTGTCTCCACTGAAATTCTTGTAGTGGCCATTCCACCAGATAGTACTGTTGTTTAAATTTCTCCTGTGAGATGCGGAAATATTTATTGGACTGTGCCTACAAATTCAAAACCAAAAGATAAAAAAAACAACCAAAAAACTGTTATTTTATCAATTGCTCCTTACTTGTTCAAATTCAACAGCAGACTAAATGGGGAAAAAATTCAACATTCCTACCTGATTGTTTTTTTATGAGAAAGAAGCAAGACTATAAGTAACCTTTGAGAACAATTTGGTGTAGAAATGTGTGTTACGAAACTGAGGTTGGTTCTAGATATCATCATGCAATACTAAACTAAATTATAATATATTTAATGATTCAGGAGCTAGATTCACTCAGAGACACTCACCAAACCTTTTTATATTTATAGGTTCAGACACCCTTGTGGGAACACATCAACCAATAGATGTTTGACATCATGGAAAGAAAGTGACATTTTTCTTACTTTGATGTGTTTTTATGAGGCAGCTTATGAACGATTTTAGTTAAGCTTTTGTCCTGTGTTTCTTCTCTGTTTTAGACAAATGTTGCTACTTCTGTTGACAATGTCTTGAATACATACTGTGATTCTCTTTTCTATGTTGCATTTTATTTTGTTTTTTATGTCTTGTGTAAAATGATGTGCAAGGTTTTCAGAAGCTATAACATCAGGAAAATACCTTTCCTCAGTTTTGTTCCTCTATCTTGTTAGTCTGATTTTATAAGTTATTCCATTAATTGTAATTCCTGCAGAATATTTTTTACGTAAAGCAAAACATATGATAGGAGTAGTGTGTAGGGTAACTTAGTTGATGCCAAAGGATCAAAGTCCACTTGATTCTTCACATTTTGACTCCACCTCATTTTGCATGTGATAAGACTTCCTGTTGTTTTAGCTTCTAAACTTATAGTGGATGTCTACTTTGCATGCAGACTTCTATATGTTTGTTTTCTTTTATTTAATGTCAACACTTTTGTTTGTAAATATGTTGTGGAAGTTAGTTCTTGAGAGTTGCTAATTTTCTTTGTAGACAACGACTGTTTAATTTATATTTTGGTTTGTTAAATATTTCCTCTTGACCTTACCTTAAAGTTTATACTGTGTATAAAACCATCAATGTGTACATTTTGTCCGAACGTCTGCACTTGTGCAGTTGGTCTGTAACTTTTGGGTCTTGCTTGATTTTGAACGTGCTTTTTCATTTGTTAAGAAAGTTTTGTTATGTTACTTTTCAACCATCTGTATTGTATGGCACAGGCATGGGTCGTTGTACTTTTCTGTTTACTATTCTGTTTTTGCAGGTTTTTATTTGTTTTTGTTAAACATTCCTTCCATAACAAAATCCATGGGCAAATTATCTCAGACGTTTTCATGGTGCCACGTTGACTTTTAAAAAATAGAATAAAAACTACATGAAGTGCAGGTAACTGTGAGAGAGCAAATTTAATTGAGTTATTCTAATTGACAGTGTCGATACTAAACAATCAATCTCTATGTACAGAATATTTTGCTTCCAGCAGATCCCAATAATCAGTGCATAATACATCAGTTCCTATTTAATTAATTTTACCTTGTAACTCAAAGTCAATCTGGAATCAAGAGAAATTGTTTGTTTTATTTAAATGTTGATCTGGGACAAGAAATTTGCTCTCTCACGCCATAAAATATCTTAATGTACTTTTGTATAAATGACGTACTATATCCAAATGGAGAAAACATAGGACAGTGATATTTTCATATCTTTAACAGAAGTGTATGTTCAAAGCCAATTGAGATCTACCTTACTTGTAAATTTATGTAAAATCTGTACATGGTTAAGACGTATATTTCATTTCATTCCTGAATATAGACTGCCAGATAAAGAGCTGCGTATTGATTTTCCACATGTCCAAAACACCTATATAGCCTATGACAAATTTGTCTTCAGTTCACAAAAATACAATAAAAATATAAAAATATGAAAAATGAAAAAATGCAATGTAAAAAACGATGATGCCTTAACATTTACATTACAAAAATGGCCCACCACCTGCAATTAGTCTGAAATTCATACTATGGACTATGAATCTAAGAAGCAGATGCCCGTAGCCCAATGGACATTGACATTTGGCGTAAAAATGACTTTTCCCGGGACGCTAGTCGGGTTGAAGAAGCTGTGGACGGTGGGTTGCCTACCTAGGGCCAAAATGGCACTCTAAATAGTGTCGGGCGTCTAGAGGGAGTGCTCCAGCATAACATACTCGAATTTGGGCCGTTGCCCAGAAGACCGTTGCCCAATGGTCTATGACGCATTCCATTTGGTGTCAAACCGACTTTTCCCGGGACGCTAGTCGGGTTGAAGAAACTGTGGACGGTGGGTTGCCTACCTACGCGGCGCATGCTCACAAAATTCCAGTTTTTCGCCAGAAGAGACCGTTTAGGGCCAAAATGGCACTCTAAATATTATCAGGCGTCTTAAGGCAGTGCTCCAGCACAACATACTCAAATTTGAACCATTTTAAAAATTTTGCCCAAAATGTGATAAAACCATGATGTATAAGCCTAAAAATTTTTTCGAGGAAAATGGTCTACCACCTCAAATTGGTCTGAAATTCATATGGAACATAGCTATGGGTTTAAGAAACAGATGCCCGGTGCCCAATGGTCTTTGACGCATTTTATTTGGCGTGAATCGACTTTTCCCGGGTTCTTGTTGGGCTGAAGAAGCTGTGGGCGTTGGGTTGCCTACCTCCGCGGCGCAGGCTCACATCATTCCAGTTTTTCGCCAGAAAAAGAACGTTTAGGGCCGTAGTGGTCTGAGAAATAGTATCAGGAGTCTGAGTGCTCCAGCCCTTAATACTCGAGTTGGGCACATGTTACCGAAAGCGCCACAATTCACCGAAATGGCAGCCGGTTTTACCTACTGTATAGGGGAGTGTAAAGGTCTCCAGTTTTCTTGCTCCCATCATGTTATTATACTTACTTTGCGAATGCGCTGTGTTCACATTCTTAACTTTAATCCCCGCATCTGGCCATCTGGCAGACACGGCACGGCATTCTCCAGTCTATTCTACTAGCGATGAGGCTATGGGACCCTATCCCAGAAAGTCGGTGCGTCTACGCAAAGTCTGCGTGCACGCGGTCTCGGCCGCAGTCACCTATGCCGTGATATGCGTAAAGCGTAGCTATTAGCAGGCTTTCCACTCCAGGCCCCAGTCTCGTACGTTCTGGAGTTTCGTTCAGGTTTGTCTGGAAGGAGCCTCCGCACGTTTTTCGGGGAGGGGGGGGATGGTGGAAGGTGCCTCCCGCTGGTACCGGTGGCACCGGTGGCGCACCTGTCTTCTCAGTCGCGTCTCGGCCGTCCCGGCACTCTGGCGCGAAAGTTGCCCAACCCGGCACAGTGTTGTTATTTGGCGGCAGCCAGGGCCTGCCGTTTTGGTTTTGCGAGTTTCAAAGAGTCAAATCATGTGGCGATCGGCGCGAGCGGTGCTTCTGGCGACGGCGTGCATCTGTCTCTCTCGTGCGAGCAGCCAGCCGGTGAAGCCATCGAACACGGGTGAGGCTTCTCTCATTTGTTTCGCGGGGTTTTGCAACAGAGAAAGCCGCTTGGCTTGGGGCGCAAAGTTAACATTTCTCTCTGTTAAACTGTTAAGTCGGAAAGGCTTAAAGCTCTAGTTTTAGTTACGAGTCGACTGCTTGAGCACTTAATCAGTCCGGCACCAAGGGGACCGACTAAATCTTAGCTCATCCGATGAGAAGCACCTCCCGGACCGTACTATGCCTCTCTTAAATCAAGACAAATTTGGACGAGAAGGAGCGCTGACTTCCGGTATTGTGTTGTTACTGCGAAATTTTTTGATGATCCAAGGTTCTGTGTTGATATTTTTTAGGTGACACGAATTAAAATGCGGCAGGCACGCATGGAAGTCGGCCGAGGCGTTTGACCCGAGATTTCTTTTTTCTTTCCGTCATGTCCTCATAGCGCCTTGATGTCTTGATGCCTCGACGGGCTGACGCCTCTCCGCCCATGACCCCATGCAAACGACCTGGTGCCTAGAAAACACACTACTTAAAAAGTTGTATTTGCAGTGTTTTATTGGCGGTTTTTAGACGTGTGAAAAGGCGCAAGCGCGCGATTTCAGGTCATTATTTGGGGTTGACCTAGAATGAAAATTGAACGGCGTCCAGGGCAGGTTGTTGAACAGCTCGCAGGGTGACCAGGGCTTGGACTAGGGCGACCAGGGCGGCCAGGGCGACCAGCGGGGGAGAAAGTCCGACTGGAATACCGTTAAGCAGCAATTCGCGATGCGGACGGCCAGCCAGAGTTTTGGAGAGCGAAAAAAAAAGTATAAAAAAGGTTAATATGCTAACAACCTGTTTGCCCTCGGATACAATAAAGGTGCCCCCACAATGACCGGAATCCGACCGTCAGTCGGTCAGTCAGTCACTTGTTTTAGCTTCCACCTGACAATAACCTTTTTACACGCACATGAGATGTTTGCCGCGCGCACAATATAAAAGACTTTGCTCGTTCAGCAGAGAAGGTGTGTAGCGATACTAGCTAGTGCCTATAGCTAGTGTAGCTGAGGAAACAAGTGTTGACGAAATTGGACAATCTGGCTAGTGTCGTTGTATAACTCCGCTGCTGGGCTTCATGTTCCCAGAGCAGCGTGATTCGGCGTGATTTGGCACTGCAGAGGCACTGAAACGCTCGTGCCTCCACTTAGTACAGTTGTTTCGCTCTCCGCTAGTTTACTCGTCTAGAAATCGTTTTTGCACCCAAAACACCAGCAAGCTTTCTCGAAGATAAAATGGCTAAATTCAAAAATTGGCATCCCTCACAAAGATAAAAATATTTTTTGTTTCAAATATTAATGTTTGTGCTTTTTTTGTTCCAGTTAACGCTATTGTTTCCTGTTCGCGAAACGATACAGCGAGTGATCTTAACCAGTGCATATCAAGAGGAATAGAACACTTTTTAAGAACGGCTAAAAATGGTAAGAGATTTCTTCCTAAAATATTGACTTTTTAAGGAGGTGGGGTGGGAGGTTGGCTGGGTTCTAAAGTGGTTTGACTTGCGGCGTGCCTCCAGGTTTGCCAGACATCGGCCTGCCGTCTCTGGATCCGTTTATGGTGAAGCACTTGACACTCAAAGAAGGATCTGGCAAGGTCGCGGTGTCCTTCGATTTCCACGATGTGCGCTTCAAGGGTTTCAGCGGCGCGGAGGTCTACTCAGCCAGGTAAAAAAAAAAAAAAAAGATAGCTGACTCCTCATTTGAATTGTTTATGAGGCCTAGTGTTAGTGATAAGCCGCCTATCGAGTTCTCTGTGCACCACGCATGCCCATGGAAGCTTAGTTTTCTGCGGAAGGCAAAGTGGCTACCTTAGGCAAAAAAAAATGTATCGGCTGAGAATTTCTTTTCTTTCGTGGAAAACCATTTTGGATGAGCATTTTATTTCCGTGCGCAGGATGAACGTGAACGACAAGAAGCTGGAGGTGTCTCTGAGAGCGCCCGTCTACGAGGTGGACGGCTTCTACTCGTGCGAGGGCGCCGTGTACGAGCTGCCTTTGTCCAGCAACGGCCGCTTCACCGTCACCATGAGTAAGCGGCGCAGCGCGCAGCGGCCACGCAGCGGTTAATCGCCACCTTCGAACCCACCAATTTCATTCTGACGTCATCTCTTTGTTTTCCCCCCGCGCAGCCGACGTCACCAGCGCGTGGATGCTCTACTTCCTCGCCAAGACGGCCAACAACGACACCATGCTGGCCGCCAACCGCTTTATCGTGGACGTCAGCCCGGCCAACGTCGTGTACCGCTTCGACAAGAAGTTCGACGGAGAGAACAACCTAGGTATAGGTAACTAATTTGTTTTTGTTTTCCACCTTTTTCCTTGTTGCCTCCCAACTTCCTTCGTGAGAGATCTAATCGGCCGCGGCGCTCAGCGGGGCCTTGTTGACGCCGCGTGGCGCGTTACACTGCGAACCTCCTGACCTGACGTCAATTAAAGAGCCAACGTCCCTCCGCGTCGTCAGACTAATTCCCAGAGTAGTCCTCGTCGCTCTGTCTCTCTCGCACTCATGTGGCGTCCCGCATAGGTGCGAGAGAGACAGAGCGACGAAAACGACTCCCGGAATCAGTCTGCAGTCTGCCCATGGCGCAGCCACGCGCAGCCATCAGGAGCAGCAGCGCCAACACGTCGCCCGGAGAGGCCACTTTTTTGGAGAGTCTCGTGTTGTGTCCACTTTGTTTAGCTTATTTTCTTTTTTACATTCGCGACGCGTCTTCATCGCGAGCACAAAATGGCCTTGGGCAAATCCACATGGCTGTCTGGAATACAATGCAATACCACTTACATTCTTAATTTGTACCCGACTAATAGTTGCCCTTTGCTTCTGCAGGCGAAGCCATGGATGAATTCATGAACGAGAACGCTCTGGAAATCTACAACATCATCAAGCCCCAGATCATGAAGATAATGGGCGGAAAGTTCCTCGAACTGGCCAACCAGGTCCTAATGAATTATCCCAGCGCCCTGGACCTGGCCAGCAAATAGCGCCTAGCCTCTCGAGTCTCGATAGTCTCGAATCGCGGGGCACTAACTCACTCCATCATCAGAACCTCGCGCCGGACTGACGCAGGCGACGCAGCCATCGCAGAGCGAGGTCCGGCCGCTGTGGCCCGTAGGCCGCCTCCGAGGCGCCGCCGGGACGGTGGCCTTCCTCTTCCACTTCAACTTGAGAGGCCACACCACAATTGATCGCCCCTGCAGAGATCCGCTCGCGGCACCTAGCAATCTGGCGGTCGAACCAGCGGCCAACTCGCCAAAAAACCATTTTTCTCGAGTCAGTCATTAATTTTGAGTATTGGGGAGGAGCAGCGGACAGCTCGCGGGTTAGAAACGTTCGCGAAGCCCAAAGCCTATCTTCCCGCGTGACGTCACAGACGCAGCCCAGGAAACGTGTGGAGGCTGCTGCTGGACCGAGCAGCTAGCCGCTGGCCAAAACAACTCGTGCCAAGGCCAGCAGCGTAGTATTATTCTCGTGCATACTTACAAGAAAGGTGCAGCTTGCTGTGTGTGATGTGCTGTTTGCGCACCATTGCACACTATGCAGTTCAAGGTGTCACTGTGACATTGTAGTACTGGTGCGGTTCGCAACACTCGCCGCTCGCTAGCTTTAAGTAGTGATAAATGAGATGGGAACGCAAACGAGGAACATGAAAAGAAGATTTTACTGTGATATTTTTAGCATCTATTTATTTTCACTGAAGCCTCACTATTTTATTTTATTTCATCACATCTAACAACAGCAGAAGAACGTAAATATTACGCCCTATGTGAATCAATACTAAGTTTATATTGTTAAAATATGGTTTAACGTTTCAGATGAAAAATGAACTGTTTTAATTGTATGCTGTTGTTCGTGGATATTAAATTTCGTGCTTCTAATGTGTGTGTGGTTTGTTTTCGTACCACGTCAAACCACATGTATGCCCAACCCAGAGCGGACACGCGTGTCTGCGACGATACCCCGCGCCGCCACTTCATCGCGCGTCTGTACTCCGCGAGGACAGCGCCGATACTCCGCGCGGGCAGCGCCACCACTTCACCGCGGCGATACTCCGTGTGGGCAGCACCGCGTCGACACCCCGTGCGCTCATCTGAAGACTCCTTCTACTTTTAAAACACTTGTTGCAAAATGGTATGACACATTATGAACGATAGACGGAAAACCTAATTCAACTATAACATTAAAGATCTACAAAATATGGTATGACGAGCAAGGATTAAAATTCTATAATGACCTCCCTTGACACCTAAAAGGTGAGACAAAGCACTTCTCGAGGATAATAGCAGACTTTATCTCTTCAACCTATTTGTACTGGCCATTATGCTCATATATTTTGTGGAGCTCTTCTTAAACTGAATCTTGTTTCTTTTACTTTGTACCCTGTGAAATTGTGCTTTTCCCCCATATCCTGTACTTGCTGTTAACACTCAAACTGTATTTTAAAACAGTATTTCACACTTTCAAACAGCATAACATTCTGTAACTTTTTATTTACACCACCGTGATTTAACCGCTTACTGTTTGCAAAAGAAAACCTCGATGTATGTACAGGGCTTGCCCTCGGACTTTCCTCAAGTCTTATTAACTAATAAAATTAATAAATAAATAAAATGCAGAAAGAACTGAACCAATCTGACCAATCTGAACCAAATTTTCCTGAAAGCAACGGGAACCACTGCAAATAGCGGAACAGCAAAACTTTGGTGCTAAACAAATGCCAAAGCGATACAAAGACATATTGAGCTCCTTTGGATTAAGAATTACAAAGGTAGATTGAAGAAGTTGTGAACGGTTCATACTTCAACAAAAGAGAAACAAAACCACAAAAAGTTCATTCTGACAGATCTAAGACTTAACCTAGAATCCAAGGACTCTATCTACATTCAACTTGAAGAGACCATACTTGGTAGACTTATAGTAACCTCAAGACTGGATTGTTAAATTACTTGATTACTCATTAACTTATAAGATAAATAGAGACTGTAAAAAAAATCTTTTTTTTACCAGACCAAACCAGAGGCAAATACTCATCCGATTTGTAGAGAATGACCATACACGTCTCTTCATTAGTCGTCTCTTGATCGTAAATAAGCTCAAGGGCGTATCTTGGCCGCAAATGAGCACAAATCAAACACACACAACAAACCCCACAGCACAGCCGCCATATTTGTTGCACAATGTGTTACGCAGGAAACAAGCCAGGAGCACCAACCTGAAATCCAAGTGTGTCCAGCTCTGCCTGGAATGGCGTAAAGGACCCGGTGATTTCATCGCGTATTAAATTTCGAATCACTCTTCGAGGTTTGCAATGTTTCATATGAACATTGTTGTCCGTCACTTTTATATTTAATCGTTACTGCCCAAATTATTTCGGTTGGCATCCTTGGCGGGAAAAATAAAATAAAAACAGAACTGTGCCGTGGTTTAAAACTGTTTAAAAGCGCCGATGAGAACAGCAAGCGCCCGCCGCAAGTCCAACCAACATTCGACAAGGATCGAAGGAACTTGTGCTTGTGATTGCAAAGTAAAGGTGTCCACTTGCAGGCAGCATGTCTGGAAAGGAGAGGAAGCGTGGAAATGGGACAGAGGCCGTGAGTAAACTAGCGGCACGCATTCCCTCTCAGCGCGGTCGGCGCAGCCATTTGGTTTTGTATTTGTTTTCTCTGTTTTCTCGTCCAGCCGCCGCGAGACACTGCGGGCGCATCCAGTGCAATGGCGGTTAAAAAGTTGCCTTCGATGCGGCCGGAGCAGTCCGCCGTGTCCGCCGTGTCCGGGGAATCGTGCTCGCTGATGCCCACGTTGGCCGTCGCCGGGAAGGCGTCTGAGCGCAGCGTCCACTGGAGCAGGAAATTTATGTGAGTGACCTCGGCCAAGGAATCGACTACCTCCTCCTGCTCCCAAAGGGTCATTTCGTCGCTCTGTCTCTTTCGCACCCCTATAGGCCGAACGGGATTCGCAAGGGACATCGACGAAACGATCGCTTCCGGAATCGTCACTTCAAACGCAGTGCCGTGCCATCTGTTCAATGCGGGCCTTTCGTTCACACGCCCACTCCTTTCACTCGCACTTTCTGCCCAGAAAGAAAGACGATTTGGAGCCAGCGGCGGTGGGGAGCCAGGCCAGCCAGGCCCAGAGAGCGGCCGACAGCGTCCAGCGTCTGGAGGGAGGCTGCTCGGACCTGGAAAAACAGTTGAGGGTACTTCGTGAGGGCGGGCGGCACAGGCGGCACCACTTCCTTGAGGCGTTGAATCAGTCCGCTTGTCTCGCAGGACGAAGTGAGAAAACGCACGGCCGGCTCGGCGTCCAAGCTGGCGAGGGTCACGGAGCAGGAGGAGCGCGCCGACATCATGCTGGAGCTGCAGCGGCAGAACGCCCGGCTGCGCAGCGAGCTGGAGCACCTCAACAAGGCCAGCGACACGGAGGGCGCCCTGCAGCACCTCCACCGCGTCCAGGAGGACATCAAGTCGCTCGAGGACAAGGTGCGTTCAGGGAGGGACCATGGCGTCGACGGATGCGGAGCAAAAGCGGCCCCTTCCCTCCCGTGACGGGAGTCCCGTCCCCAGGCGGCCAAGCTCCAGGACGAGGTGCAGGAGCGGCGCGCGGCGCACTGCCGGGACCTGCAGCGGCGCCAGGCCGAGGTGCGCAGGCTGCTGCAGCGGTGCGAGGCGTCCAGGGAGGCGGTGCAGGCGGTGCAGGCCGCGCGGAAGGACGGCGCGGCGCAACCGGCGCAGCACGTCAACGACGCCCAGACGCAGGCGCAGCGCCCGGAGGACTCGGACGGCTCGGAGCCACGCGACGCGGGGCCGCTGCCGCTGGCAGGAGGCGACGACTTGCAGGTCAGTGGCCATGGCGCACAACGACCGATTGTAAGTAAGTATGCGTGTGTGTGTGTGTGGTGGTGGTGGGGGGGGGGCTCAGGTAAGTCCACACCAGTGTTTGGGTGCACTTGAAGGAGCCGGTCGAGAGCTCTTCTGTCCGCGACAGGCCAAGCTGGCGAAGGCTCGCGGCCGGCTGCAGCGCACCGAGCGCGAGCTGGAGGAGAAGAAGCTCCACCCGAAGAAGGTGGTGCACTCGGTGGACTCCCTGAGGACGCTGCAGCTCGTCTGGAGCGAGCACGTCTCCCTGCTGGAGGGCCTGGCGCGCCGGCAGGAGCAGTGGAGCTTGCTGCGGGACAGGTGAAGTAGCGCCTGTTGAGTCGAGGGTAGGCAACCCACACTGCTTTACTTAAGGCAGCTCTCAGCGGATCTCGATGATCTCGATCATTTCGAGATGTAATGGTTGGGTATCGCCTTCTGCGTGCACCGTGGGCGCAGAGTGGAGATGTTCGCACGGAACATCGACATCCTCCGGACGGAGAACGAGGAGCTGACGGCGAGGCTCGTTGACGTGCACCTGCAGCTAAAGGACTTCGTGGAGCGGCCCATGCTGCCCACCGCCGTCGTCGACAAGAACGTGGCGCTGCTAAAGCACATGCTGACGATCGAGGCGACGCTGGCCGAGAAGGCCGTGGAGCTGGAGAAGCAGGAGGAAGGTCTCGTGCTGGAGCAGAACAAAGTGCGCGAGCTGCTGGTTGAGGTGTGCAGAAGTGGGAGGGGGTCGCGCTGAGACGCTATGGAACGAGATTTTCCCTAACATCCCCTTTTTCTTTTGGAGTGCAGCTTGAAGGCCTGCGACGCGAGAATCGGCACCTCAACAGGCGGCTGCAGAAGTTTAGCGACGCGCAGCGGTCTCCGGACGACGGCCAAAGCCACGCCGGCGTCTCGCGGAAGGGGTCCTCGACGGTGTCCTCCAGGAACAAGTTGGAGCAGACCAGTAAGATTACGTTCTCGTGTTCGACGCATCCGGGAACGAGCTCGCCCTTTAATCGGCTCCTCGGTTGCTACAGGCAGACGCACGCCGCTGGGCAGCCAGAACCTCAGCATGTTCCTCATGCCGCGCGCCGATCCCGGCCACTTGCGCGCCGACCCGTCCCGGGATCAAGAGCAGGACCAGACGGAAGGGCAGGATCAAGAGTGCTGGAGGGAGGGACAGGGCCAAGAGAATCAGCAGGATGGTCAGGATGTAGAGGACCAACAGGATGAACGGAGTCAAGAGGATCAGCAAGATGGACAGGATCTAGAGGACCAACAGGACAGGCGCAGTCAAAATAATCAGCAAGATGAACAGGATCAAGAGGACCGACAAGATACGCAGGACAATAATCAGCAGGACGAACAGGATCAAGAGAATCAACAAAAGGGAAAGAGTCAGGAGCGCCAGCAGGATGGACAGGATCAAGAGGAGCAGCAGGGTCTAGAAAATCAGCAGGATCAAGACGATCAGCAAGATGGACTACATCAGCAGGATCAAGACGATCGTCAGAATGGACAGGATCAGCACGATTGGCAGGATCAGGAGGATAAACAGGATCAGCAGGTTGAGTGGGATGGAGAGGATCAGCAGGCTGGTCAAGATGAGCCCCAAGCCTCCAGCTCGTGGTCGCCTGACGGCCCTGACGGCGACAGGCGGTACCCGATTTCGCCCCCGCAGCCGCGGCCGTCCTTGGCGTCCGTGGCGTCGTCGGTGGCCACGGCCGCCCTCCTGCCCACGGCCTCGGGGCCCGCGGTCTCGGCGTCGATGGTGCCACACGACGGGCAGGGTAGCAGCAGTCCACCGGCACCGCCATCAACAACCAATTAATCAATCATTGTTATGTAAGAATCGATTTTATTAATGAGACCATTTGAGGAATAGAGCACTGCAGTCTTTTAACAAAGTCACCGAAACCCTGTCTTGGAATTGGCCGGCTATTTTCATTGCGGGAGCAAGAGTTGACGGCGCGCAGATTTGCACACCACACTGTGGGCTCGTGACTTGAAGCTTAATCTTAATTGCAAAGTGCTTTGGGTTCCCGACACGTAAAAGGAACTTAGTTTCTCTTAACGACTAAATGAACTAGAAGGCGCACTTACACATTGTGCACACACAAAAAGAGGAATACTCGTAAATGATAATACTCGTTTGCCTGAGATCACATTCCCAACGGGTCAATCACAATAACGACACCATAAACAGTCTTTCGCCGCCATCTCCAGTCCTCCTTTGACAAGAACATCTTTGGTCTGTTCCTTGAGCAACCATTTCAGGTGGGCAGTGGCCACCCAACCCCACGGGTGCACAAACGAAAACAACGGCGGGGCGGCAGCGCCAACGGCAGCGCCCTCTGGGTGGCTACGCCATGAGTCCGCGGGACTCACTGGCCGTCCTCGAACTCGGCCATGGCGGCGATGAGCTTCATCTTGGCCTGCGACCGCCGGGTGCCGGGCAGGCGGCGCAGGCTGGCGGCCAGGCTGCGCGCGAACAGCTCGTCCGGGTCGTGCGCGTCGCGCGCGTCCGCAGACAGGTGGCGCACGATGCCCTCCAAGGACCCCGCCACCACGGACAGCGACCGCCGCACCGCGTCCTGGAAGTCGGCGTCCGGCGGCGACATGCTGGCGTGGTCCATGGACGGGTCCGGGTACATGGACGCGTCCGCCATCGGGGGGTACTCCGGCCCTGGCAACCGCGGAAACAGGGGGTAAGTGCAAGGGGGAATTTTCTCGGTGCGCTTCAAGAAAAGCGGAGCGTAGGTTTCGTTTCAATGAATCGTAGTTTCGCCAATGTCGAAATGCAGCTTACCGGAGGGAGAGGTGGTGGCGGCCGAGTGCGCGCCGTGGGTGGCCAGGTCGACGGCCATGTCCTGCCGGGAGTCGCCGTCGTCGGCCGGGTGGTGGTTGGCGTGGTGGTCGCCGTCGGACCACAGCTTGAAGGGCGTCCAAAGGGAGGGACCGGCGACCTCCTCCACGCCCACGTCCACGCCGACCCCCACGCCGTCGCTCGAGTCCGAGGCGGACGCCTGTCCCGGCGGGGTGGTGCCTCGGCGGCCGAAGGGCACGCCGGCCACGCCCGCCACGCCCGCCACGCCGCGGTGCCGGGCCAGCACGGCCAGGGCGGCAACGTTCGCGGCGTGGCTCTTGTAGTTGCACACCCGGCTGCTAACATAGACAGTGCCTCAGGTCCAAACTTCGTAGTACTTCGTAGCGACTTCTAAGGCGGAAGGGTACGCCTTCCTCAGAAAACGAGTACACCAGCAAAACGTGGACGTAATAGGGCTCCTTCAAGCTAAGCTTCTCTTACGATCTTCTTAAAGCGTACAGGTGCCCCCTGAACATGAATCATTTCTTTCGCATAAAGTTCAAGAAGAGAGAAAGGTCATGCTTGAACGAAGCGTAAAGTTTAGTTTTTTTTTCAGTGTATTAGACACGGTCGGTCTTTACTACTGCTGAAAGGTGGGCAGCAAGTCACGCTCTACCCATGCTCAGCGCGAGTAGGTAGTTTTCGCCACTTTCCCCCTGGATCCACGCCTGCAGGCTAGCAGGCCTGGACGGGTTTGCTTCCCGCCGTTTTGGCACGGCCGCCACGGCCCTCCGATGGCTGCTGCGACTGTCTGTGTCTCTCTCTCTCACTGGGCGTTCCGTGGGGTTGCGAGAGAGACAGCGCGCAGTCTGCGATTTCAAAGAGCGCTTCCGCCCGTAGGCCGTAGGGGTGCGAGAGAGAGAGAGAGAGAGCTCGCCGGTACTCACTTCCTGGGCTGGATGAAGCGCTCCAGCCAGCGCATGCGGGGGAAGAGGGGCCACTCCTTGCCGGGCGGGGCGCCCCGCTTGTGCAGCCGCAGCTCCCTGCCGAAGCGCTCGCGCAGCCGCACCCAGCGCGTCTGGCACTCCTCCACTGCAACAGCGAACAGTACCGTCGTGAACGCGGCGTCGCGGCGTCGCGGCGTCCCACAAGGTGTGACTTTGCTTCGACTTCCACCAGCCAGATTCGTTCCTATTAGGCGCAATACGCTACGCCGCGGCGCGGCACGGCACGGCACGGCGCGGCTGCACGGCGGCGGCGTGGCCACAGAGCAGCGCGGCTCGGCGCGGTGCGGCGCGGCAAAAGCGCGGTGCGGCAAAACGCGGCGAGGCGTAGCCTGGCGTAACGCGGCGTAACATGACGTAACGGGATGGTGGGCCCAGCTCCGCAGCACTCCGCAGGCACACGGCGCGCCAGCCCGCTCGTCACAGTGTCACAACCGTCACGTCGGTGTCACTCCAGTCACGTGACCGCGCGCACCCCAGCCAGTGTGTTGACACTTGCATCTACATTTGATGGTCCGTGCGTTTGAAAACTTCAAAATTACAAGCAAACGTAAATAAAAACTTGGAACACTAATTAGCTGTCTGGACTTGAAATGGGGGCGTGCGTAGGAGCCGTGACGAGCTGTGGCGGTAATGCACGTACTCACCACAAGGAGCGTAAAAACAAAACAAAGTCAGGTAAGGTACAGCCTGGCGAACAATAACTCTACTCTACTTGATGGAAATTCTGCGATCAGGTGAGAACGACGGCGTTTCCCGCCACAGCCACGACGGTGTCGCATGTGCTTACACTACAGGCTACTGTATGCTGATTCAAAACGATGCTGTAGTCGCACTGTCTCCCTCGCACTCGTGGGGCGTGCCGTAGGGGTGCGAGAGAGACGGAGCGAGCATCGCATACCCACCCCTCATGCCGAAGGTGGTGGCGATGGCCTCCCAGGACTGCGCCTTGGTCTGCTCGTCCTTGTAGTCGACGCGGCCCTTGTCGAACAGGTTGCTCCTGGCGCGCACCATGTCCACCAGCAGCTCGTCCGAGTACGGCAGGCACTCGCGCGCCGCGTCCCGCTGGTCCCGCGCGCCGGCACGCAGGTCGTCGTTGACGGCGTCCCGGACGTCCGTCATGGCGCCGCTGCAGCTCGGCGCCCCGCGCCCCAGGGCGGCGGCGTGAGCGTCGTCGGCGTCCTGGTGGGCCGCGGTGGCCGCGGTGGCCGCGGTGGCCGCGGTGGCGTGCGGCAGTGCGACGCTGTGCTGCACTACGCCGCGACCAAAACACACTACGGCGTCAGCGCCCAGCGGCGGAGGCGGCCCGGTGCGCTGCGCCGCTACGCTACGCACTCCGTGCCAGTCCGTGCAGTCCGCAGTGGCACTGCCAGTGCCTCGCGGGCCTCGCGGGCCTCGCGGGGTGCTGCCATGCCATGGCCCGCGGGGCCTCCAACCTCCGTGCCGCGGCGTGGCTGCCAAGGTACTGCTTGTGCTTACGCAGCGTCGAGGCGCCGCGGCGCAGCGCCACGCAGCGCCACGCAGGGGCCGTCGCGGTGGCTGCGTCGCCGCGCCAAGCGTCCCGGCCCTGCTCGAGCAGTAGCGCAGGCAGTACCTAGTCCGCCGCACTACGTGGGACACGCCACGCGCGGCGCGGAGGGCGGGGCGTCGGACTGGCGTGGACTGGCGTGGACTAGCGGGCGCTACGTCAAACCGTAAGCCGGGCAGGTGTCTCCTTCCACTCATGTGCACACACTAACTAGCAGGGCCCCTCCACTCGCTCTACTCCACTGGCAGGGCCGGCAGGGCACTAGCAGGGTGTTGGCGCGGCGATCGGCTTCGTCTCCGCGCTGCTCCGCGCTGACCAGTCAGTCGTCGTCCACTACTCTAATGGCGGTACGGTTACGATGCGCTCATTATTGCTCGGCCCGTCCGTAACCATAGCAGCGCCGGCCGACTCCGAACAGAGCGTCGTCGCGCCGTCTCGCTCGCACGCACGGGGCTTCGCTAGGCTTCGCTAGGCTTCGCGCACGCGCGCGAGAGAGACGGAGCGCCGGACCATTGTTCGGAGCGAGACTGCAGCGCTGGCGCCGCTGCCGGCCGGCCGCCACGCGCCTCGCACTGCTCGCCACGCGCCGGGGATGTAGGCCGGCCTGCAGACTGACTCTGTCTCTGTCTCTCTCGCACCCACACGGGGTGGCCTGTGAGTGCGAGGGAGACCCCTGGAGGGTGAGGCCGGCGTGGCCATCCTCCCGCCGAGCTCGCGGTGCTGCATGCCGTGCTGCATGCCGTGCTGCATGCCGTGCTGCATGCCGTGCCGGTGCGCAGGGAATGACCAGGACTGACCCCGTCCCGTGGGGCCGCCGTCGGACCGCCTGAACTCCCGGCGGGCTCCGAATCTGGCTAGAGACTTTGCGGCAAAGACAAGTGCCGGTACGGAGGGGTGCACTGTTAAAATTTTTGGTCATCTTATGACCAAAGAATGGGTGACCTATTTGTCACTTGAAATGTCCGTAACGTCCGACCGGTAGGCAAGTCGTCAGACTGCCCGCGCGAGTGGTCGTGAACCAAACAGGAGTGTTGCGCAAGTGGATGGAACCGTATAGGCATCGAGGCCTTCAACTTGAGGGGTTGCGTTTCTCCATTCTACCGGGCCCTGGTCGAGCCCATCAAAATAAACAAACCACACAGAGGTAAAAAGTACTAAAATGTATTTAAATAACAATTAACGACGGTGAAGTGTGTAATGGGACAGATGGGGAGGAATATCACAAAATGAGCTTTTCGCTTCGCTGCCTTTAGGAGGTGATCTTGGCGGGGACGTTGAAGCACAGGATGCGCTCCCCGTTCTGGTTCACCAGAGCCCAGTGCACCAGGACCTTGACCTGCAACACAATCAGTCCCATATAAGTAAACGCAACACGTGGACAGAGACCCACGTTCTGATTGGTCCTTGCCTTGGGGTAGATCTCAAGGATGTCGAACTTGTTCCTGTAGAGGTACTCCTGGCCGGCCTTGAGGGGGCACGACGCCTTGGTGCCGTCGGCCAGGAAGATGCCGCCGCACGCGTTGGTGTTGTCCACGCCGATGAAGGGGAACGGGATGCCCAGGATCTTGGCGTTCACCTCCGTCTTCAGGGTCTTCACCTCAGTGTCTGGAAAGGGAGGCGGAACGCTTGGAAAAATGCGACTTGGAAGCTATCAAGGCTAGCGTCAGCCTGGCACGGGCGCTGATGCAGGGAGATAGTGCCCTAGTGCCCCCCCTCCTTTTCGAATGACACCTAGGACCGCCTGGCAGGTAGGCAAAAAGCCACTTTCTGGACCCGCTTCTGGCGCTCGGCGTGGTGCCGGTGGTGCAGCAGCGCCGCGGCGGTAGGCCTCCCAACGTGCAGCGGGGGCAGCGTGCGCTCCTATTGGCCGACGTTCCGTTCCGTTCCGCGCCGCGACTCGGTACGCGTAGGTACGCGATGCCTTCAGACAATCTTGTTTTGTTGCGCGGATAATACGACAGCACAGTGAGCCGGGCGAGGTTCGTTGGGCCTGGGGAGCCGATGGCTGATGTGAGCCGGCGCTTGTGGGAACCGGGCCTCCGTGCGAGGAGTAGCGTCGTGCTAAAGAAAAGAATAAAGAAAGAACGTGCAAAGCGAATACGCGGAGCCACCGCATAAAGGCCAATATGTACACGCTTTCGTGACGGCTGTGGCACGCTCGCTCGAGACGTGGCCTGCTCTTCTCGTGTCGTGGATTAAGATCAGTGGCGGATCTGGTACCGCCCTGAAGGTAGGCAAAAGGTGTGACATTGCTCCCTCCGAAAAACCACTCTAGAGCCATCCTTCATTACGACGACCCGTGACAGCTGGGTGCGGCAGGGTGCCCTTTCGAGAAAAGAGCAAAAACGCGGAAAAAACTGGGACAAAAAAGAGGTGGAGCACTCTACTAACCTGGGGTGAACTTGAACTCGACGTGGGTGGTGGTCTTGCGCCTGAGGCGGCACGGCGCCTTCACACAGTTGCTGATGGCAATGTTCTCCTTGTCCTTGATGTCCGCGTCGTCGCCGGCCGCAGCCTTGGCCTTCCTCTTGGCAGCTTCGACTGGAAACGAAACAGAGGGACGCAAACCGTGAGTTTACATACAGCACACAACAACGGATCTTCGCGAACAATACGCTACAGTCTCAACGACGCGTGCTTGGTGCCGCTGGAGAACTCTCGCTGGGTGTGCACTGACTTAGCGCCTCTAAGTTCCCACACTTACATGGCGTCGGAAACACTGGATGAAAAAAAAACAAACGATAACTCATTTGCTTGTGGGGTTTTGTCGCGGGGGACACCTCTGGTTTATTAGCCAGTAAAAAAAAGCGCAGTTACAGCCCGACCTCGTGCCTAGCAACAAACGTCCCAGCCATCTTCACCTTCCCGACGTTGTCGACAGTTTGGCAGACATTGACCACAGCTGCCTGATTCCAAAGGTTCGTTTCCATCACTCCACCTTTGTCGCACTCACGGGGTGTCTGGAAGGGGTGCGAGAGAGAACGATCTTTGAGGATCAGACTGGTGTATAATCACTGCCTTACCGGCTCGTGCAGCAACGACCGGGGAGCGAACCCGAAGTCTTCCACGAAGTCATTTGCATACCGGAACCGCAGTCTGCGTGAAGCCGTTTTCCGCTGTGTTCGGCGGAATTGACCATTCCTAGCGCGCTAACCAAGACATAGACTCTGACAGTGTGACACCGTCTTTCGCAGTGTGCCGAACCAACAAAGCACTGTGAGTACAGCTCTCTCGCGTTGCGCGCCTTGCGCCTTCCTTACAGTCCTTGCACGGCCCTCTCGTGGCCCACCCCGGCCCACCCCGGCCCACCCGCAGCCCACCCGAAGCCCGCCCGCGGCCCGCCAGGCCTGGACGGACAGACCGGCTCGGCTCATGCTCGGCCCGCCATGGAAACGTAGGATGCAAACAAGGAGAGCGGGTCCTTCGGAACACCTCGGCACTTTCCCCGAGCCACTACAGTCACCCGTGCTGGGAGTAAAACTGGCTGAAAAAACCACCTTGTCTTGGCCAATTTTGTTATTACAACGCTGTAAACTTCCTAAAAAGGAAAAGTATTGGCAAGCGCCTGCGGGGCTTAGGGTAGGCAACCTTCCCTGGGAGACAGACAGGCGCGTGAAGCGGCGTGCCTACCCGCCACTTCACAGGCGTTCCGGCGGAAAGAACTCTGGACCGCGTCAATCGGTTTCCTCCGGTTTCCTCGCCTTTCCTTCCCAGGGCATCGGGGGTCATTCCCTGGCGTTGCCGTCGGCGGCGGTCCGGCGGGGAACGGACTCTCGATAGGCCAGACGCCGCCTCTATCAAAACAGCGCATCTCGCGTCTTCCTGATCCTCTTCGCGTCCTCAGGCATAATTACCACGGTGCCAAGGTCGATGAAACCGGTCGGAGCGGCGCCGCGCCGCTCCAAGTCCGCCGGCGGCGGGTGCGCGATGACGCCTGCAGTAGAAGACGACCGCCGGCGCACCGCGAGCACCGCGTGCACCGCCAGGTGCAGCGACCGGCGCGCCGCTGCAGGAAGGACGTTCTTCCACCTGGCCGCCGCGCCTTGTCATCGCCCGGCAGACTCATTCCGCGAGTCGTTTTCGTCGCTCTGTCTCTCTCGCACCTATACGGGACGCCCCATGAGTGCGAGAGAGACAGAGCGGCGAAAACGACCCTCGGAATGAGTCTGCTGCCCCCGGCGCCGCCGTTGCCTCCCAGGCACAAACGCCGCGTCCTTGGTCCTCGGTTCGCGACGCGCTGACCGCCGCAACAGACAAAAGCCTGCCCGTCGGCGTGGCGGCGTGGCGTGCAGTGCCCCGCGGCTGCATCCTGCCCTGTGCACGTGTGCGTGTGACTCAGAATTTCGCAGCGCAGCGGCCAGAGCACGCCAGTCTTAGCCTCAGCGCTATTCGTTACTCGGACTCTCCTCTCTCTCTCGCACCCCGGCGGGATTCCCCATGAGTGCGAGAGAGACAGAGCACTGGTTCACGCATGGCGAGCGCACTTTAGCTGGAGCGTGCGTGGCAATCGCGCTGTCTCACTGATTCGAGTGGCAAAATGAATGACAGTGCAGAGGTGGATGACCACGCCCGTGCAGCAGTCATTCCTCACACAAGGGTCATCACCACGAGTGCGCCGCTGCCTCGCTGGCTCCCACTGGCTCCAGCGCCAGGAGTGTACCAGTGTACCGCTCACGCCGCGCGGCCGCGAGGTCGCCGAGTCGCCGAGTCGCACGGATCAGAGCGACAAAGACGAGACAAAGGCGTCATCAACGGAGCGACACTAAGACCCCGGTCACGTGCGTCATCTCACGCTGCGGTCAAAGAGAGGCGGTTGCAGCATGAGAAAGGCGCGACACGTCACACACATGTGCCACCTGTGTGTGTCTGTGTGTGTGTGCGCGCGCGCGCGTGTGTGTATAAGGGGAGTAACGTTTGAATCTTACGGATATCTTTGGTGCAAATTTCGTATTCTTAACTATTTAACATGCTGCAGTGGGCTGAGTGGCACATTCGATCTTATGCTTTTCGAATAGACGTTTCGCGAACGACCTTGGAACGAGGCGGTGAAACCAAAATCTGAGGCCCAACCCGTTTCTTGGCGCGATCCGACGTCATGGAGTGATTTTCCGTTCACAGTCCAGTCAGGAGAGGATAATCTCACCGCCGACTAATGACTCGTTCGCCGCGCCGCCTGACGCTGCCCGCACTGCTAGATAAACGGTTTGAAATCTATAAAAATCTAGCTGAGAAAGTGTTTTGTGGCGGGCCCCGCATCGCGCCACGCGACTTCCGGAAACAACTGGTTGTGCTACCCCCGCGGTGCGACCGGTGTCGGTGGTCGACAGAGATGCAGCTGCTAAGAACACCGGTAGCGAGAGTCGGTTCGCGCCAGCCAGCACAGTCAAATGGCGTTCAAACGCAATCGATATGTGGATCCCCAATTAAACCTTTCCTGATCTCTTGGAGTCATTCGAACCCAACCTTGTGTTCTCTCTGTGAACGTGGTGGTCAAATTAGCTTCAACGCACTCGAAAGCTTCCTTGCAATTGCCCAGCTGCGCAGCTCGGCACTGCCAGGAGAACAAGTTTTCGGCCGAAAAGTGGAGCCACCATCCGCCTCGAATTAACTCAGGGAAGCCAGAACGCTCGGAACGAGCCGCACCAGTCGGATTGGTGGGAAAATACCAACCACGAAGGGAGTGAATTGCAAACGGTAGGCAAGAGAGTTGTAGAAAAATTTCAAAAACTTTTCTTTCTTTGCTACGCACGACACCTATCAAACCACACTACTCCTGTTCAATTTCAGGTCTCTGAACTCACCTCCGCAGATCTCCACCTCCACGGGGGCGGGCTTGGCCTGCTCGGCGGCCGCCGCCACCTGGACGGCCAGGACGGCGGCGAGGGCGGCGAGGGCGAACACGGCGAGGGCGTTCATGGTGTGTGCGCGGCTAGTCTTGCTCGGCGAGACGACTGCGGACGACTGACTTGCACGTCGTGATTCTGGACCGATGGGTTTCTCCTTCCCTTGCCTTGCCGGGCTGGGCTGCGAGCTCGCCGTCAAGAAGAAGTGGGGCCGCTGCGGGAAAGGGGGGGGGGCGGTTCTGTGGCACCGCTACACTGCTGGGCCGCTAAGCCGCGTTGCCGTGCTCTGGGTTCTGGGCAATGCGAGTGTCGTCTGCTCGGAGGACCCACGACACGCGCTGCAGATTGAGCTACAGCAGAAAAAAAAAACAGAAAAATAAAATGTGTTTATATATACGTAGCAATATACAAAAATTCTAGTCGGAGATAAACCACTCCCAAAGAAGTAGTTTCTTGAATCGATCTCGATTATACACTTGTAATTTTTAAAGCCTCATCTTCATCCCTAATTGTGCGATGGACACGGCCACGGTGCCGAGTTTGTAAAGCCTCATCCCCAATCGCACTGGTCTTATTATTTTAAACGAAGTCTCGTTTTGCGTGAGGCAAAGTGAGGTGCACCAGCACACGGGTAACTGGACAACCGGTACAGGCAGGAGCATGCAGGAGCAGCACGCCGGTAACTTTTGCTTTTTAAACGCAGTCTCGCGTCTCCGGGGGGAACGACACATGCAGCGTACATGCAGCAGGCAGAGAGGAAGCTGGCAGTAAAGTGGCCTCTGGGACAGAGGGTCTCAGAAACGCGGCCCGGCTAGAGGGCCTAAAGGGAGGAGACTGCACCCATGGAGTCACGCAGAAAGTGGATGCGTCTTTTCTAGTGCACATTCCTTCATGAATGCAGTCAAAGCCGGGCAACTGAATGGAAGACAAACAGTGTTCCACGGCCCTCCACCGCTGCTTACCTGACTCACTGACGCCGGACAGCGGAACAGCGACTTCAGCTCGACGTGCACGGTGCGACTGCTGGACTTGCGGTGTGGCTGTCCTGCGGCGGGTGGGCCACGTTTATAAAGATGTCTCTGTGTCGCTGGCGGCGGGGGCCATACACCCCCCCCCCTCAACGTGTGATTTGTAGGCAGGGCACGTGCATTTGGGCCGTCTCGGCGGGAGGGTCCAGGAGAGGGCGGAAGGAGGAAGCGACGTCGAAGACCAAGGACCGCCAAGACGCAAAGCGATTGGCTGCATCCCGATCATCCCGGTCTTTGGCTTGCGGCTCGCAGTGCCACCACACTGGTATGACAGAGGCAGGTTGCTCGGTGTCCTTGCCCTCTGAAGGGAAAAACTTGTTTTGAAACTGCGCGCGATGAGCCCTGCGTTAGCAAGGCAGCACAACACAGAGGGCGCGTGTTGTCGATAAAGCAGGTCTCTTATTTCCTTTCCGTCCTTTTTTTTGGCCACTCCCGCCCGACGGGCCGACGGGCGTGCCTTACTTAGCCCGGGTGCGTCGGTCCCAGCCGTCCCCATGTTGACAAGCAATGAAAGGCGTGTCGGGTGTACGTACACGCAGTGCAAAGCGTAAAGGCCGATCCCGCCTTCCGCCCGCAGCTGTCTTTGTCTATGAAAGTGAGAGGGGAGCAATCCTTCCTTGCATTTAGGTAGGCGGGCGGCGGAAACGTCTCTCGGAATCCGTCCACTGGCGGTGTCCCCGCAGCTGGAGCGCCTGTGAGATAGGCCGACGACCCGTCCCGCGTCACATCGGCGTGGCGACGGTGGCCTGCCTTGCCCCTGCGACAACAGGAGGCAAGGTAGGCCGCTATTCTGACGCCGGTGTGCTGCGTGATGGGGTGGGGGCATTATTCAAAAAAACTTGCGAAAAATTATTTTCATTTTCTGCGCGGGTCTCTATTATTGGAAGGGAGTGGTTCATTTAAATTGGGACTGGGCGCAGTGACCCGACAACTGTGTTTTTATAGAGCTAACATTCTGCGAAAACCGTGAGTACATCGTGCGTGGACGCTGAGACGAGAGACAGACGGGAATTTTAAAAAAACAATTGAAAGACATCGGTGGACGAACACATTTTTATTTCATTCTTCACATCAAGAGGTCGACGACGGTTGGTAAATTCTATAGTTGTATTTCATAAGAATGTGGTACAAACATAAGTGAAGATGTCTGCTGCGGTACTTTGATGACCCATACTTTTTGTCAGACAAGACATGCCTTAATGCCTTTTGCACATCATTCCTGATAATTTTTAAAAAATATTAAAACTCCAAATACATGGGTTGGACTTAGCAAGGCACTGGAACCAGACTAAATGTTACCTGGGGTAAATGAGAAGCTGTATTACTTGTCTAATTTCTTCAACCGTAAAGCCTGAATCCTGTAGAAATTTTAAAGTTCTTGAAGCTCTTATCGTAGATTCTTTGCTTCCCCAAGGCACACGGTTAAGTTCACTTTCAGCAAAGTCTTGTTCTAAATCAAGTGAGATTGCCACAAAACTTGCTAATCTGCCACGTTTTCTACCACGTAGGCTCTCTTCTTTCTTTATGTCCTCTTCATCATCATCTTCTTCATCAACATCATTACTGGTTTAAAAGAAAAATACACATGTATTCAGTATGTTTCAAACGATAACAATTAAAGAAAAGTAATTCCCAATATTCTTCAGCACCTGGTAACATAAGGGTCATGTCTACATGGTTTATATTCCAGCTGAATTTTTTTGTTGAGAAACCACTGTTTCATTTCCTGCCGCCATGGTTCAACGGTTTCCGTAGAAACTTTGATGAAAGGATTCTTTCTTTTCTTTATGAGATGTTGCAAATAGTTCCAAGATTTATCTTTTGAACTATCTTTGAGATATTTTGATTTATAAAGCAATGACAAAATATTTATATCTAAACTTGTTGAGGGCACTAAAACTTTCTGAAATGTTGCCTCTAAAACATCCGGATCAACTAAAAAGTGTCCAGTTTCCTTTGTGTTGATTATATCATGCTTGCAAACTTGCCTATTCTGGGAGAAAAAAAAACTATAAGTATTATCACTTTCAACAGCACAGTTTTGCAAAGAATCTGCAGCACATAAACTAAAATATCAAAATACCATTAGGATGAAGAAAATTGCCTTATAATCTTCATGGTCAACAAAGGCTACATTAGGATCCTTACGTAGAAGATGAGTTAAGCTGACTGGCAAATCATACATCTTTTCAAAGTCACACAGTTGTTTTAAATTATAAGGGTTTGCAAAGCAAAGAAGTGATGGATGGTTACGAATCTGAAATTTATCACACAGTGAAATAATTATATTCAAACTTATTTAACTGCTGGAGAATTCCTTGAAATGAAATCTTACCCATCGCCAACCTAAACCAAGGCTCTTAAAAAGTTCAATGTTCCTAAGAGCAAACTTCAGACAGGCATGCCTATACCGATGCCAAGGAGGGAAAGCATAACCAAATGAGGACTGCATACAATGACTAAGAGTTTGAAAATGAACCAGCTGGTAGGTGCCGTCTGGGTCCACATGTGATGGATATGGACCATCAAAATTTATACTTGCCATTAAGGTGTCAATTACATTGACATCACTTGATAAAATTTCTGCCTCTTTTAAAACTGGTATGGTAGTCTTGACAATTAAATCAAAACTGAAAAACAGAAACACAGTCTACAATGAATGAAAGCTCACTGCACTACATAGTACCTGAAAATAACATTCATCAAGTAGGAAAAGACAGTGCAGAAAATTTTTATGAACATACTGTAGTATATATAGATCTGTATTTTAGTCCTGCCATTCAAATTTTCATTAGATTTTTGTAATTTAAAGCTGATATCAGCTAATAAAGCAAAAGAGATTGAAACGAAAATGTAGCAATCAACAAGATACTTACTTAGTTACTGTTGTAAGACTTGTCTTAAGGCCTCCCTCAGCACAAAAATTCAGACGGTGTTCTATATAATTGAAGGGCAAAATGGAAACGTGTGGGTTCTTAATAATATCATTTGGGCTGACACCAAGCTCCTGAAACAGCAGTACAAACATTAATTTACAGAAAACATGAAAAGGCAGCAAACAGATATTTTACAACTGTGCTTTTAACCTGCAGCCGCAGAGCAGTTTCCTCAGTATAGTTGGAATGATGCCTCAGATCTAAAGGGAAAAAATAGTGGCATGAGAGTAAGAACGTTCTGTCAAAACACTCAGATGACACACTGCCTTCGTTTCTATTACAAAAAAAAAGGTTCCTTAATTCTTTTGTCAGAGACTACAAGCAAGCTGTCTCATACCATTTACACTGCATTACAGGTATTTTAAAATGCTGTGCAATGTACCATCTGCAAGATAAACACAATGTTGTATAACCAAAAAAAGGAAAAAAACTGACCTAACAACAGCTTGAAAGATAGTGACGAGGCAGATTTAAATAAGCAGCAACGACCTGCTCTGCTGGCGCACGTAATTCTGCTGACTAAACATGCCATGCCTCTAAATTCGTCTCGGTGGTGGCACAAAATCAAGCATAAACATAACCTTGCCAGCAGACCACAAGCAGGACGCCGCTCGACCGACAGTACGAATAATGTGATGAAGATTATTCGCAGTTCCGACTGACTGGGTCACGTTTTGAAGAAGGCTGTGAACTTGCGTGCGGGAGAGGAGAGGAGAGGGGGGAGGCAGCAGACGGACAACGACGGCAAGAGAATTTTTGAGTAAGTGTGCAACTGGCTCTGGTAATTTTGTTTTGGATCTTTCATTGCCCTTTCTATGAGTTGATTACGTGTCTGCACTGCCTCATGCTTGTCGGAATACTGTGTCCGTCTCCAGGAAGGTGTCGCCATGTCTGCTCTGCGTTTGATTCGGCCACTCGGTCGAAGTCTGCGATGTCAACCTTCAGAACAACTTCTTGGCCGAAATGTGAATGTTTCGCGAGTGCTCTGTGCATTCATCACAAGCAAAGCCAACATGGGTGCATACCAACGCCCTGCCCCATTCCCATACAAGGAGAAAAAGTACAACTACTGGCACCAATACTTTGACCGCACGGTCGACCGTTTCGATGAAAACACCAAGGTTCTGGTGGTGGATGGGCCCATTGGTGCAGGCAAGACGACGTTTGCTAAGCAGCTTGCCGCCGATCTTGACATGCTGTACGTGCCGGAAGCTGATTTCGACATGTTTTACTTAAATGCGTACGGTGCAGATTTGCGCTCCCTCAATAGCAAGCTTTCACCAAATGCTCAGTTTGTTGACGTGAAGGAGTTCTATCGCAATCCTAAACACGTCAACTCAGGAGTAATGCAAGTTCAGATGCAAGAAATCAGATTTGATCAATACATTGATGCTCTAGCTCATTTGCTCAACACAGGTGTGTTTAAATGTTATGTTCTCAACACTGTTTCATGACTTAAAATGATCCGAGTTTCTCACAGACACCTATGATTTTAGGCCAGGGTGTTGTGTTGGATCGATCCATCTACAGTGACTTTGTTTTCATGGAAGCCATGTATGAATCTGGGTATATGACCAAACAAAGTAAGTAATAAGTAACTGCTGAACCTAAATTCAGAAGTTGAAGAGGTGACATTAATTATTTATTAAAATTGCAGTTAAAGCCTATTATGAAGAACAGTATAAAAGCATGAAAATTATGCTGAAACAACCTCACCTTGTTATTTATTTGGATGTACCTGTAAGTATTGTTCAGAAACGTATCAAGGAGAGGAATCGTGATTGGGAAGTGAATTCGTCCGTTCTTACGGAGAAGTACCTGGGCGCTATTGATAGAGTTTACAAAGAGAAGTTCTTGAAAGAGATGAGGTAAGTCAGGATGTTTTATTGAGGACTTTGTATCATGGGATTCTTGTTGTCTGAACCTTCCTATTCATTGTTGAACAGTCTTAAATCAGAAGTGCTTGTCTATGACTGGTCAAACTTTGGTGATGTGGAAGTTGTAGTTGAGGATATTGAGAGGCTTGACATGTCAGAATCACCTTATGAGAAGAGGTTTGAAGATTGGAAAGTTCAAAAGGACCGAGAATTTGCATACATGCGATGGGAGTAAGTGTTGAGTGTGTGCTACTTCTATTTGCACTGTATTGCAGTGGAACCTCTATTTCAACCCTCAACTTTTCAAAATCTTTCTAATTGTGTGAATTTTCCATTCAAGGTACACCAATAACAAGGAAGCTCTCAAGGATCAAGCTGAACCTGGTTACCTTTTCCCTGAGATGATGTTTACCAGCGATGAAGCATCACAAGTACTGGCTCTTATGAAGGGGGTATGTATCCATTTTCCTCAAAAAGTTTGTTTTCAGTCTTTTCAATTTTCTAATTTTTCTTCTAATTTTCTTGTAGCTTCCTGGAGGCAAGTATACGGAAGGATACGATCCTAGAGCAGGTGATAGTGTGCTATTTAAATTGAAATAAATAGGCGGAGGCTGAGTGGTGACATTTCAAACAAGGTCTGGGCCTTGGGACGCCATTGTCAATATTGTAAGGTTCCGCTTTGTACATACGATAATGTTATTAAATACATACATCTGGACTTGTGAAGTTATTTTCTATTCCCTTTTTAAAATTATGGGCATTTAGGAAGAATGCCTCAAACCCGTCTGCAAAATTACTTTATTCAATATGATGTACAAAATGTTTAACATATGTAACCCAATAATTTTCAGAACGATAAGAAAACAAATACTGTGTTAAAACCACTGGCAAGTCGGGGTTTAGTATTAATTTTAAATTTCTATTAGGATGGGTTAGTGTGATCATTTCTTCTAATCTGGAATACACGTAACAAATTTAAGGAGGTTGTAATCATTGCCTCAAATATAAATGGGAAAAACATAAGCAGTCCAACTTTGTGTTCTGAGACCAATTTGATGTTGTTCAATTTGAGAATCAGGGTAGTCTGATAAGATTGCCATATACAGCTGATAAAAGGCATGAATGAATTTGAAAAAGCAAATCAAATAAAACAAATCCATTGAAACCCATATTACACTTTATTCTACACATTGTAAGTAAAAGTAAGCAATTTCCTCAAGTCTGCTAGGAATTTTTGAAAGACAGTAAATGTAAATATTAAGATAAGGAAAAATGAAATAGCAACTAGGAAAAAAAATAACTTAGTAAAGATATTAAAACACCATAGTATTGAACATAGAAATTCAAACAATGACAGACTTGAGCAAAGCGTTACTGTTTTTGTCAATTACAAAACAGAAATATATGACTAGACTTGGAAGCACAACCAGTGCTGTATCATGACACCTAGAAAAGAGGAAGACGAGAAGGTGCTAAGTTGCATTATGATGCCAGGTGACTAATTGAGAGAACACTACAGTACCTGTTATTTGTGTTTAGAGGTAAGTAATGGTGTCCGTTCTGCTGGTCGGTCGCCACCTGTTTGACCAGGAACAGCTCCTGATGACCCTGGCGCGGGTCCTTCTTCACAAATTCCTGCCATTTCGTGATGGGGTCGTTGCCAGAGAGCTCTACTTGCACTTTCTCTTTCTTGATATCCTCCTCTTCGGCGAAGCTAGAATAGTTAAAGAAATAAGAATAATATTAGCTTACTATGCTTTGCCTTTATAAAGTAGAAGCCTATTTTCTCTTAATCTCTTGAGACATACATGGCCATGGTGAACTTCATGAAGTAACAGGGTACTAAGACTCATGTCTGTTGCAATGTGTTCACCTTCTGCTGCTTCTGAGGCAAAACCAGAACCCACACCAGAACCAAAGACAGATCGTCCTAGTGAAACAGCTGGGGGCACTACTCTGTGTAAGCTGGAATTCAAAAAGAGAACAGAAGATAGTGACTAGTTGATGACAAAAGAAAGAACAGTAAGGGATTCTGTGAGTACCTTAATTGAAATGGTCCTTCAGCTCGACTTAGACCCCCTCGCATCGCCATTGGCATTCCTTCTCCAGCCATCTGGGAAGAATTGGGCGATTGGGGATCTGGGGCTTGACTTCTACGAAGGAAACTTGAAAGCATAATGCTTGTCTATTTTTTTTTAATTTTTTTTTTTTTTGGGGGGGGGGGATAAACAATAATTATATTAGTAGAATGTGGCAAAAAATTGATTTATCTTCAAAAAATTCACTGCAGCTTACTATATTACCTCTGGACCAAGTGATGAACCCGAATGAATTTGTGCTGCATAGGCAGAGTATGCGGCAAATGGAGGGTATGCAGGCCCACTCTCACCTGTAGCATCCCTCTTGGCTTGATGCCTCAGGGCATCAACAAAACTTTCAGCATCTGGTGGAGGTTGCCAATGTGGGTTTGTCATGGTGAAATGTACTAGTGACAGTTCTGTTTTTCCATCCTCAGCCTGAAAATAATATGGCCATGAAAAATATTTCAAAAGCAACTAAGTTGATTGTAATTCTCAGTCCATATATCATTGTCATACAAACCTGAGTGTACTGGTTGGACGAACAAGGCACAGCTTGTTCCCCAATACTAGATGGCATAACGAAAGCCGGAGTCCCAGTCGAGCTCGGCTTGTGGTTTCCATTGCCACTAGTGTGCCAGGTTGGATTACCATGCCGCCTCACATCCATTTGGGCAAATGAACAAACATCTCCCACCCCCACAACCTCTACAGTGAAGTTGCGATAAAAATCAACAAATTCAAGAGCTCTCGGACGAGTGTGGAACCACAAAACAAAAGGAGTTATTATAGGAGACAAAAGTTCTTCCAACAGATGTACCTGCAAACAAGTCATTGTAAGCAAAGTGGGCAAGGAGAGCAATATTTTCCATGACTACTGAGCTACTTACAGCTCGATATGGAAAAAGTTGAGAAAACTTGTCTCTCACACTATTCTTGTGAGCTTTTCCACGCCAGTCATCCGGCAAGTAATGAACATGGGCAAGAACTGCTGTCATGAGAGTTTCAGGACACCAGACAATATTTTCATCTGGTATTAATGCACGACATGCTGCCACAACAGCCGTCAGACAGGTAATTATAGTGATAACATGTTCAACTGTCAGTGTGTCTTCATCAATGACACTCAGAAGTACCAATACAGCAAGAAAAGCTCCAGCCACAAATAGTACGTTCTTTGCAATGACTGTCATCAAAGGTGAGGTGAAAATATTCATGTACTTAGATGCAGGACTGTAAGCTCTGTTTAGACGGGCATTGAGCTCGTGATCTAGTTCATTGAAGTGTCGCAAGTAAAGGCGACCATACTGGGACCAACAGCGAGATCCGAGACTGCCCGGCTCACGTTTGATAATCTGCAACAGGCACACATGCCTTGTAAATCAGGTTTCATTGTGGCCAAATGGAATGCCAGTGTATTGAGGACTTACCTCTGCATAGGTGAAAAAGCTGTATAAGATTTGCCATAGTAATATGAGAGGACAAAGTATCAAATTTGCAATGGCTAACCACATAATGTGCTTGCTCAATGCAGCGGCTAGTTCATGACGTTTAGCAGACTTTCTGTAGTCCTCTTTGAGATGCCAACTGTTTTCAAAGGGCGCCCATGGACCCCCTATGAAATATTTTAAGAATGTATTAAATGAAGAAGTTTTAGAACTATGAATGAGTTGAACAAAAGCATATCACACCCAATAACATCAAAGTACTCACAGAATAGCAGTAACTCGAGGTTGTATTTAAGACCATGTGTCAAGAACACCACTTCACCCAGAAGGGGAACTTGCAATCTTGGTGGCAAGAGTGACTTGTTTACCATAGCTACCATATAGTTCTTAAACCTAAAATATTAAGACAGTCATTTAAACAAATGTATTTTAAGAGGAACTTTTTCAGTCATCAAGGGCAGATACACAGTAGTGAAAGATATGATATTACCTCAGTATTCGATGGTATATGTCTAGTTCTGAGAGATCAGTTTTGTGAATGCACATTTGCTGCTCCTTTTGTACTTCCCTTACTCGTCTTTGAACTTCATGCCAAGTCAAATTGTCCAATTCACTCTGAAATAGATAGAAATAGTTATGAGTTAAGTTCCAAGACAGTCAAAATATATCCAAATGATAACAATAATGAAGTGTCTCAACATACATCACTTATTTTAAGGGCAGTATTGAAGAAACACTTAAGGTCCCAAAATTGAAAAATGTGGCAAACTACTTTAAAAACACGTAACAGCCAGAATATTAAGGCAACACAGAGACATGCCCAGGTTGTAAAACTGAATGATGATACACATTGGGCAGTTGGAATAACAGCATCCGCAAGAGACACTTTGTGAGTCGCATTTGCAATATACTGATCCCTGCAACAAAAAAACAGATAATTTGTAAAGTAAACTTTTATTAATAAAGAGTGGCCATTAACTATCAGCAGAAGTCACTGTGAACACAAACCTAAATAATACAGGATAATTAACACAGTTTGCCAGGAAGGATGAAAACACAACAACAAAAACAAACTGAAAGAGCTCTAGCACTTCTTGAAGCATCATACACGCAAATCCATGTTTCTGATGATAATGATACATGCGTGTAAAGAAAGCATCCAGGTCTTCCATATGATTCCATCGTGCTAGAAAGAAAGTATAGAAGTGTTGGTTAAAACCAAACTAGAATCAGCTAATGTTTCAATTGTACAAAAGAAATAAAATAAGAATACCTCTGCTACTTTCAGGTACAACATGTATCATAACTCCACTATCATGAGGTGTTTCTTCTACATCACCTAATTCACTTCCAAAAGCCTGCAGGGGCTGATAGCTTGCTTCCAAAGTGGTGGTCATGGTGAAGTTCTAAAAATGAAAATAAAGAGTCAGCAAAACAAACCACATACTTTACAGGTCACAGCTGCACTATCCATACGTTAGTATATTTTAAAAACACGACTCTAGAGCACTAACTTAAAAAATTTTAAGAGTTTACATAGATGATTATAGATGCATGAAGCTAGGCACCAATTTCCTTTGTTCTAGCTGAGTAGACTGGGACAATACAAGGAAGAATACACACTTAACACTAACACTTTTGACTTGTAGGCTGTTAAAGCAGATGTCTGAGCCTTTGAATGAGTAGAAATAGAGAGCAATTTCAATTTTTGACTTCAAAAAGGTTCTAAAAAGTCAAAACTACCATCACCACTTCTAGTGTAATTTTGTCACTCAAAAGTAAACACTCCGAGTGCGACATTCTTTATTTTACGTTCAGTCGGAGATCTTTCAGAATCTTTGCAAATCAGTAAATCTCACGACATGAAAAGACATGAAGGGACCATAAATGCCTTATTTCGCAACAACTGCTGACAGCTGATTTTCGTAAACACAAAGTCTACCACTAACCTTGAAATGATAGTGCAACAACAAAGACGTACCTCTTTTAAAAATTATTGGAAGATCCTATACACAACGATGCTATTTACAATTTCGTAACTACATATCACACATTTGTTTGTCTTAATCGTTCTCATTCCCTACGATTTCTGCTGAGTCTCGATAACAAGGACCCTGCCAAGAGTCGCCATGTTGCTTCTGATGATGTTTTTATTTTTGTTTGTTTTGTTTCTGTTTACTTCGATACATCGATCCGACGGTTCTGAAGAATTTTTCTTAAAACGCGTATGAGCGGCCTGTTTGAAGCGTTTGAAGTTTGTGTCTAGCTAATTCGCACAGAAGTGCACTAAGGCTGCCCCCCGGAGCCTGTGAAACATTTCTTGCGAGCATCGTTTAGTTTTGTGTCTTTGTTTCGTATAAGCCCATAGTATTGAGTCTTTTCGGCGCTTTGGTTAGCTTTCCGGTGCCGTCAAATGACATTCTGATGTCAACACAGCTCTTTGTTTACAAGATCCTTTTCTAATTTGACCGTCGCCAAATTAGTTCACTCTTAAAGTTTCGCCGTGCCTCTGCCGTTGTAGGACGAAATGTCATTCCCTCGAGATATTTCATGGAGCCTGCCCTTCTTGGTACTCGTGCTTGTTACATGGCAACCTCCGGTAACCTCCTTGAAGCACAAAAACATGATTTGTGACAAAATTTCTGAGTGCGTCTGTAGATTTCCTACTGGACACAGCATTAACTTAACAAATCTTGCTTCAACAACATTAAAGTGAGTGAGGAGTCGAGCATGAATCATTTCTGGACTTACTTTGATTGCAAGTTGCATTGTTACATAACACTTGTGGATGCTTTGTCTCAAGAATCCCATTTACCTATTTTCTTTCTTTTCATCTGTTTGTTAAGTTTTAATGATACAAAGGATGGCCTGGTTTACTACCTTAATCCCTGCGGACAAGCTCACACACCTTGTTCTAATGGATCGTCGGTGAGTTGGAGCTTGAATAGTAGTTCATGTAAGCTTCTCAATTGTACACTTCTAATTTCCTGCTTTTTGGCATTTGTCATTTAGCTATGTGTGCTGGAAGAGAAAACCAATCACACAACAGATCTAGGTCCGATGAATGCATCAGTGTTTTCTACTCAAGGAATGTTCAGCCCAGTTTACCTCTCTTATGAGATTAGTGACCTGTAAGTAAGCTTAAATCATCTTATCTTATCTTGGCTCTATTATCAGTTGACCTAATCAATTGTGCTTCCCACAGGACAACTGAAATTAAATTAGTGTGCTCAGATAAACCTGAATCAATTCTACTTCTGGACACTGACATCGATGATCTTGAACCTAGTGCTGAACCTAAGAAAGTAAGATCTCTGATTAGTCCTTTGGTATTTTATTCCTTAATATTTTATTCATACAATCTTAATTGATGATTTCCTCTCTTTTTCAGTATTTGCTTTTGCAGTCTCCTGAAGCTTGTTTGAAGGATGCTGACGCCTTTTCTGATAACAGTGCAAGCAATGGCCTATCCTCTGGAGCTATATTTTTTATAGTTTTGATAGTGTTGTGGTGCTCGTACATTCTTGTGGGTGCTGTGGCAAATCATTTTCTTCGGGGGGCCACAGGCTGGGAAATGATACCTCATTATCAGTTTTGGAAAAATGTTCCCACTTTGTTTATGGTACGCCATTGTTCTCATTTTTAATTTTTGTGTCTCTGTTTTTTTTGTTTTTTTTTTCGGTCTTCTGCAAATGATGTATGATTATTTTCCTTCTGTGTTTGCAGGATGGATTTAAATTTGTTGCTAATGGCTGTAAACCACCACCAAGCTATGAGCAAATTTGAAGAGATATAAGATGACATGATGTGATATGCCGAAGTAACATTGTTTTTTCTTCTTTTTTCTGTCTCGGTGACTAAGAATATTTTATCAATTTGTTACTAGAAAAGATCTGTTTTAGAGTAAGATTTTTTTAATCTATTCTGGCTTGTGTATGCCTGCCTGAAATTTGTATAAATAGAGGCTAATTTCTTAAAACTATTTCAAACTATGTGATGTCTTGGATTACTGACTTTTGATCAACTATGTTCAATGGGACCTGATTGAGAATGGGAAACCATTTATTCATGCTATTTTCTGGTTCTTTGTGTCTTAGTTGTTAAACATTTGGAGCAGTTGATAATGCTACAAGTTTGTTGAAGCAGCATGATAATGAAAGCAAATTCAGATTTCTAGTCATGTGCTGAGAATTAAACCTCGTCAATTTATGTAAAAACTTTCGTGAGACTGTTATATTTGTGATTCACACATCTCTTTATATTATATGTTAAGATTTGCAACCCAGTGAATAAAATTCCTATCAAACACCTTTGCAATATTTTTATTCACACATAAATGAGTCTTAACTAATCAACGAACAGATCATGACAATTTATATCAGCGCCGTGACTTTGTGCATTACGAAATTGGCGCTCTTTCATGTTACATAACGCCATTCTGTTGCTCGGCTGAGCCGCCGGGTCGGTGTGCCTACTAGTTCGTTAAGGTCCCGACAGAGGGCAGCTCGTAGTGCTGCTGCGGCAGGGAAGGGAGTTACGTCTCCGTCCGAGAGCGCATTTGTGGTTCGAACTGCCGACGGCAGATGGCGCCTCCGTACAAACACTGAAGAGCGGCCGTACCAGCTCTCCATGGTGTAATACACCCTTGACTCGCTGCAAAGAGCGAGAGAGCCTCTTTGAGCTCTCTTATGCTGGAGGGCCATTCTTGACCGAGCACTCTTTCAGGGTGATTTAAAAACACACTCTTGCTGAATCCACCGGTTTGGTTTCACGCAGTCCGAGCCGAGAACCAGAGGCGGGCTAACTGCCCCGGATTGGGATGGGAGGGCATTCAACCGCTGCTCTTCGGTCGTACTTCACAGTTATCCATAATGCAACCATTTTCATGCTGGGAATTTTTGGGTAAAGTTCTTTATTGTATGTTCGGGAGCAAGGTGCCAGTTGTACCTGGTGGATGGGCAACTGTTTCGTTCAGTGTCGGTTGACCGAGCACTATGGACTGGCTTCGAGCAGAGGCAGTGACAAGTTCATAGGTACTACAGGAAAGATTGAGACAGACGCGCCCACGACTCCAAGAGACTCCGATTCACTCGTTGCAAATTACTACTACTCTGCCCGAAAAAAAAAGAGTGCGGGCGTGTGTCGGAAGGGAAAGGGAGGGGGAGGGGGCTTCATTCTCATCACGGGGCTGTAAAAGCAGCGTAACGCAGAGGGAGAAAGGCCAGGGCGGGGGTGGGAAAAGGACAGAAAAGGAGGGAAAGTGAAGAGAGCGAACGTGACGCGAAACAATAGCGCGTTCGTGCCGTAGCCATGGCAACGCAACAATGCCACCGCGCCAAGCTTCCGGCGCAACTTTTACAAACTTAATTTTTTTTACAGAACATGCCATTATTAATTTTTTTCAGTACAAAGGTACTACGTGTGACACGAGAATCTTTGCACACGTTTGTATACGTCCTTCACACAGGCTTTCACATTGCGTACTTATGATTGCAATCATCACTTTGACGGTGTCTGTGCGTTTTCATAGGGCATCCCTCGGTCGTTGGGCTTGCGGTCGTTTTTCTCTGAGCTCACCCGCCACTTACCAATACTTCGATGTGGTTGCAATGCATGAAACGCAAGACAATGCAGGATGTGTGTTTTTTTTCGTCCTACGACGCACCCGGAGATGGGAATTATTGACAATCCGTGCGCCATCCTCATCACCCCGTCATAATGCGCGCCAAAGCAAATAAAAAGGCGCGAAAATGGGATTGGCGCTGTTAAATGATGCGCACACGAGAGCGCGGCGCGGCGGCGCGGCGAGGGGCGTCCGCTGCAACCACAGCAGCACGGCGCCATGGCGCTGACGGTGATGATTATGGACGGCGATAACGCGGCGGGCGTGCCGGGACGACCTCGCCCTCGCCACGCCGCCACGCCCTCGCCGCCGCATCCCCGGCGTCATCCCGACCGCCGTCGGCCTGATGGAGGGCATGGAGTATGGAGGGTAGGGCCGCATGCAGCAGCCAAGGCCTCATGGCTGCGGCGCTCTGCGGGCCGCGAGAGTCACGTCGCTCCGCCTCTCATACGGAACATCCCATGAGCACGAGAGAGACAGAGCGACGAAAACGACTTTCGGAATCAGTCTGCTGTGGGATAATTAGCGCTGACTCGGGGCTCGGCGCATGGCACATGGAGCGGGCGGCACGGCATTGGGCCCTGAGATGAGCTCGAGGACCCGCCCCGCCCCGCCCCGCCCCGCCTCCACCCCCGCGACGCCCCGCCCCGACGCGCCGAGGCAAGGCAGGCAAGGCTCGACTGCCAAACAAGGGCTCTAATGAGCACGGAAATATTTAAAAGCGGCAGCAGCCAGCAGTCCTGGCGCGTCCCAGCGTGGGGGTGCCTTGGCACTGCCTTGGCACTGCCGTGCTAGCTTCGCTGAGCCGAGCTGAGCGGAGCTCAGGCGCGCCACACCGAGCTGACGAGGCACCGCGACGAAAAGACTGTCGCGCGATTGGTTTCCAAGTTTGAACGGCGAAAAGGAGGGGCGGACCAAGCCCCTCCGTGGGGCCAGGCCAGGCCAGGGCCCACTCGGCGGGTAGTTGAAGTCATTTTAAGAAATGAATATTCAGCCATGCTCCTTGCTCCGTGATTCGGCTGCACGGTAAACCGAATGCCTCGAAAACCGGGAGAGCGCCCCGGTTTTGGGTGCGCTGTCTTTTTCTATCTTATGGAGAGGGAGTGAGACAGCGCATCCAAAACCGGGGCGCTCTCCCGGTTTTCGAGGCATTCGGTTTACCGTGTGGAGGTGGCGGCGCCCGGCCCAGCCCGGCCGCACGGAGCGCGGACTCCGAGGCGGACCCGCAGCACCGCGAGCGCGGCGTCTTCTGTGTTCTGGAAAAGTAAGCGGAGAAAGAGAGTCCCCTGGCTGGCTGCCCCCTGGTGCCTTTCACCCACAAAGACCATCATCCAATTATACTTTTCCGAGAAAACTTAAGCTCGAGCGCAGGGAACAGAGGCCAGGGAAGGGGCGGCTGCCGGCGGCTAGGCGCGGAGCCTCAAACCAAGTGGGTGGCGTGGCGCGCTTTGAATGGAAAGGAACTCGTGGCTTCCGCGGCCCCCGTGGCGTGGCGCGGCGTAGCGTGGCGCGGCGTGGCGCCACCCGAGGGTTCCGTGGTTAGAGGCTCTTATTCGAAAATAAAGAGAATCTCGATCGTACTTGCGTCGAGGGGTGGGGTCGGGCCGGGCCGGGCCTTACCGCTCTCTTTCCCGTGGCCGCGGGGCATACGCCGATGCAACACCTCGCCGACGGCCGACGGCATTCAAAACACGGCCTGCCTCCAACCGGCTTGCCACCCGTCCGCCAGTCTGCTGACGTCCCCGTACAGACACCACCTCATTCATATGGAATATTTTGTCCACCGCACGATGGACGTTGCGGCCATGCCGCGCACAGTGGGCCAGAAGACCGGCGGAGACGCTCGAAATCTCGGACGGGTTTTGAGCAATAGAGTCCGCTAATGGGACTCGAACCGAACGTGTGACCCCACCGATGGATTGCTCTCCGAACGAGGAATCCATTGGTGGGGTCACACGTTCGGTTCGAGTCCTGTTTAGCGACTCTGGAGCTCAGAACGCGTGTAGAGTTTTTGGCCGCCTCCACCGGTCTTCTGGCCCACTGTGCGCCGAGCCCCTGCCACGCGGCGCCGGGCCGGCCGGCGCGCAGCCAAGTCCGGCGGGTTTGCCTACGCCACAGGCGCCGTGGCCGACGCCGCTTCGGCGCGCTGGCTGCGCTGCGCCCTCGCCGCTGCCTCGCTGTTTTGTTCTTTGTTCGGCTGATGTGCGCGCTTCGCTTTCGAGTGAAGCGAGTGAAGCACTACACGTAATGTCTTCGCTGCGTGCAGACTGATTCCGAGAGTCGTACTCGTCGCGCCGTCTGTCTCTCTCGTATCTGCAGGGCGCGCCCCGCGAGTGCGATAGAGACGGCGCGGCGAAAACGACTCTCGGAATGAGTCTGCGGGCAGCGCAGGCAGCCAGGTACGTAGCAGCGCGATGCTTTTCGCGGACGAAATAGAAAGCAGGGCGGTACTGCGGGACGGGGACGGGGACGGCGGGGGACTAAGTGTGCTATGTGCTGTGTGGTGTGGTGCGTCAATGGGGCTCAGCTGGAGAGGCTTTTGTGCGGCGAGGGCCTCGGCGGGCACGGCGGCGTAGTCCCGCCAAGTCCCTTTTGAGTCCGCGTAGCCCCTGCAGTCCCCGCGCACCGTCGCCGTCCTGGCGGAATCCGCGCGCTGCGCCGCGAAGCTTCCCACCGTGGTCCCCGTGCGCCTCGTTCCCCGCGGTGGTGCTCGAGATCGCGGCTCCGTTGACGGTGCCGGAATCGGCTCGGCTCCAGGAGGGTGCCCGCGAGTACCGCGCTCTCACATCGACGCGCTGGGCACTTAGAGCCCGTGCCGCGAAGGTGGCTTATACTACCGCAGCTAGGCCGTGCGTTTGGGTCACTCGCCGGCCGAGTACGGAACAGGAAGCGAGGCCCCGAATCAGCGTAGGGCGCCGCTGTTCCTCCACCGAGTCCTTCGCAGTCCGCCGTCGGTCACGTGACGTGCTCCGGACTGCGTGCGTGCGTGTGCTCGGCCCACCGAGGAAACGGAGCGGATCGAGGAGAAGCGCGTATCGGCAATAACCATGCAGGCCCAGCCAATTCCCCCGCCCCCCCGCCCAGCCCGGCGCCGTCGCCCCGCACGGGCCCCTGCCGCCCCTGCGTCCTCCCCTCTCCGGTTGCCATGGCGACCACGGGGGCAGCGCGCCGCCGCCCCGCACACTGCCCCACACGGCGCCCCGCACGGCCGCCCCGCACGCCCAGCACCGCGCAGCAGCCAGGAGCGCGCTCTTTCGAGAGCGGCATCAGAGGGTCAAGTGCTCTCAGGTCACGGGGGAGGAAGCAAAGGCGGGGTGGGGGAGGGGAGGGGAGGCGTAAGCCCCCAGCGAGGCACCTGCACCGAGCGGGGCGGCGGCACTGTTACGCTAATAGCCTTAGTGTTACGCTTGTCCGTCAGGGAGACTCTCAGGGCGGGGCGGGGAGGCGCGGCGCCTCGCCGAGGGTCATCCGGCCAGTTTACACGCGCGGCCAGCAGCGCGGCCTGGAAGGCCTGGAGCGACAGAACGGCAAACGCGATTAGGCCGTCCAAGTACTACGTGCTGCAGGTGGGGGTAGAAGGCCGCGCTGCCTTTAAACTTCTTTCGACAACTCGGGGCCGTGTCCGAATTCGTCTCGTTTAACGACCGCAGGCACCGAATTGGCCGCGCGTTTCGCCATTGGAAGCCC